GCCACCTGCTCAATGAACAAACCTCCTTCTGCAGGGAACAAAGCCCAGGCTGACGGCACTAAGCACTGCCAATGGTTCTGAATATTTAACAATGGGGCCAGCCCTTTGCTAAACCCTGGGCACATATCATCTCATGAAACTGCAAAACAACCCAAGAGGTGTACCATTATGGTCTCTAGGTACAAGGGATAAAACGCAGGCACAGAGATTATATGGCTCGTCAAGGTCACATATAGGAAGTGATAGGACTGGGATTTGAACTGAAGACATTTGAATTAGAGTCCATGTTCTTTTTTTGTTAATCCTCAATTGAAGGATATTTTTCCATTAATTTTTAGAGAGAGTGGAAGGGAGGGGGAGAGACACATCAATTGGTTGCCTCCCACCCCTGCCCCGACCAGGGCCGGGGATCAAGCTTGCAACCGAAGTACATGCCCTTAGCCAGAATTGAACTCGAGACCCTTCAGTCCGCAGTCTGACGCTCTACCCACTGAGCCAAACCGGCTAGGGATAGAGTCCATGTACTTAACCATTATTCCAAGACGATGGCTTCCCAGAGAAGAGACATAGGGCCTGATTTTCACACCAAGAAGGACTCTTGAGGAGGCAGAGGGAGCAGTGCTCAGGCGTAGACATAGAGGGGGTAGTAGAGGGAGGGCCTTCAAAGCCCAGTCTGCCTCCCTCCCTCCCCATTCTGGGTCTCCAGATCCTGACAGCCTAGAAGGAATACCCGGCCAGATCATCTCCCACTAATTGGCTTAGCAAACCATGCTTATCTGGGCAAAGCTGGAGCCCAGTGAATTCAAGATTAGGAAAAGCAGGAGTCATGGCTTACTGCTCTGCTGCCCATAGGGTCAGAGGAGACAGGGTTAGGAAGTTAATTGGCTTAACAGCCCTGAGTGGCTTAACTGCTCAGACGGTTGAGGTGGAGGGTAGAGAGGAATGAAAACACAGGTTGGTGTCCTGCCCACAGCCGGCTCATGCCCCACCAAAGGATCTGTGTGCCGTTCTCTTGGGGTTCAGTCTGTACACGGCCAATGGTCTGAGACGCCTCCTCCCTCTGCCCGCTATGCAATCAGCACGGTGGTGCCAGGGACAGAGCTTGGGCTTGGGAGTTGGGCAAAACTGGGTTGGCACCTCACCTCTCCCCCATTTCCTTAGTGGGTGACCTTGGGCAAGTTACTTGACTTCTCTGAGCCTCACTTTTTTGTCTGGTAAATGTGTGTCATTTGCCAACAGAGGGACAGTTTCAGGGTAAAAAGAGATCCTGTGCCTGCAGCACCTCACATGGGGCCGACTGGGACGGAGTGGGAGCGTGGTGTCCATGAAGTCCTCCCCCTCATCTCCCTCCTCAGAGCCCCATTTTGTGTTTAAAATAATAATGCCAACCCCCATTTTGCAAGGCTGTTTGGAACTAGAATAAGAACTTAGGAGTTGTGCAGAGCTAGACCAGAGATCACAAAGAACACAAGCCCACAGATGTGTGAACTTTGGTTGACACGATTAAAAAATATTAATTAGTAATTGAAAATTGGAAGAATTCACACAAAAATCCCAATTTTCCACTTCTCTTGATAAATCACAACTTGACAATCCCGAGTCCACAATTTCTCATGGCACCCGCAGCTGGAGCGAGGCGGTGGCTTCCCCTTCTCTAGGACGCTGCTTACCCCCAAATGTCCTCTTGACCGACATCCACATACGGACACAGGTCTGTGTTTCCTGGCTTCTCAGAGTATTTAAGCTTTTGATCCAGTATTGTACAAGCATGAGGAGTTGAAAGATATCTTTATGACTTAAATTATTTTATTCGGAATTGGGGATGTGAGATCAGGAGGTGAATAACTGCATTGGGTGGGGAGAGGGGGCGTGTTTCAGAGCATTGGCCGTGTACGGATTGAACCCCAAGAGAACGGCACACAGATCCTTTGGTGGGACATGAGCCGGCTGTGGGCTGGACACCAACCTGTGTTTTCATTCCTCCCTACCCTCCACCCCAACCGTCTGAGCAGTTAAGCCACTCAGGGCTGTTAAGCCAATTAAAGTCCTAACCCTGACCCTTTTGATCCTGTCACCTCTTGAAAAAAGTGAGGCTCAGAGAAGTCAGCTTTGGTCCTGGAGGGCTCAGCACACATCCTTTCCTCAGTATTCCGGAACATCAGCACCGAGTCCTGCTGAGCAGTGAGCCTGTTCACTGCGGGAACATTTCATGTGGTAAGCACACAGGTTGTGCCAACGTTGCTTAACTTCTAGGAATACCAGCCCTGCTGGCTTCTCTATATCTTGTCTGGATTTTCCTCCATTTAGCCAGACCCTCAGCCATTTTTAGAAACCAAAGGTTTTGGGACAGGTGCCCAGAGGTTTTAGCTCTGATAGCTAGACCATAGTTAGAATTACAGAAAAGGAAGGCTGTAAAAGTCATCAAATCTAATATTCTCATTTGACATACAGGGAAACTGCGGCCCAGGTGTGGGAAGAGCCTCACCCACGCACACCTAGCAGGCTAGTTACAAACCCGGGTGGAGACACAGGTCTCCTGATCCACGGCCCCAACCCAGCGCTTTCCCCACAATGTACACTCTCTCCCATCCTTACCCACATGGTCCAACTCCCTCCCCCTTCTTTCACAGTCTTATCTCAGTGCCGCAGAAGCTGTGACTTTCTATCATCCTAGAATCTTGGGATCTCAGACTCATAATTCTGTGAGTTTGGGGGACACATTAGTGGCAGAACTGCAAGGTTGATAAATTGAACTTGGGCTTCCCCTACTCCCCAGCTCTCCTACGCCCTAGCTGTGTGACCTTGGGCAAGGGTGTAGCTTTTTTGAGCCTCTATCCCCTCATCTGTTAAGTAGGAATGATAACACAACCACATCAGAGTTTTCTTAGGAGGGATATAGGAAATGAAACAGGTAAAAAGGCAAACAGTAAGCTTGGCACAAAGTGAGTGTTTAGTAAAATAACTGTTGTAGAACTGTAAATGAGGCTCTTGTGCCTCTAAAGCTTATGTGAAATGGCCCAAATGTGACCAAAGAGAATGGAGCTGGACATACTGGAGCACATATATTCTGTCTAAATTGTTACAAGCCAGACACTGCTAGATTCCTTTTTTTAAAAAAAAAAATTTTTTTTAAAGGGAAGCTAAGACTTTCAGAGTTTTGAAATACTATTCAAGCCAAACAAAACACTTTCAATGGCCATTAGTTTGCAGTCCCGACCCCCTTTACAAAAGGGGGAGGGTGGAAATAGCTAGTCCTTTTACTGAAGAAACCATGGAGCTCAATGGACCCTCAGCTACCTCCAGCCATGCCCCTGAGGGCCCCCCCCCACTCCGTGATCATTTTTTGCCCTATTTGAGGGACATTCAGTTTGTTCAAGAAGGAAGTATCAGTTTCTTGCACATAGATTCTGAACAAGAGGAGAAGGAGGGTTGAGATAGTCAGTGAGTTGAAGGGCAGCTGGCCCACTTTAGGCTGAAGGAAAGGGCAATGAGGATTTGGCCACCAAGAATAGGAAGTTACCATTTCAGAATCTAAAAATATCTTTCACCATCTGTCCACTCAGGCACAGAATGATAAATGCAGATTAGTTCCTGGATGTTGACATGAATATTTTTATGTGTCAAGCTAATAATGATAACACCAACTTGTGTGGATACAACTTCACCCTCCTTCTCCCCCAAGACAGCTAAATGGAATACACACATCAATCCAGACAAGGCATAGAGAGGGAAACCAAGGCAGAGAGAGATTTGGCAACACAACACGGGTGACACAGCAAGTGAGCAGCTGGAACAAGCCCTGGGCGTCCTGTTTCCAATTCTCAGCTAAGAACTAAATCTTGAGTGAGGCAAACTGTGTTAACAAGTAGCAGACAGAATAAAGATAAGAACAGCAATAGTCATCCTTTACATCTCTACTGTGACTTTAACTTTTTCCATGCTTTCTCCACAATTGTGATAATCCTAATAATCTATTTCGTTACTAAAACATATTGAAGTTTACAGGGCCTTCCCACAGACCATCTCTCACATGTCCAACCCACTAGGTAAGTAAACTATGATGGTAGATTAACGAGATGAGGAGGAAGGAATTCTCCCATATTTCACAAGTGAGGAAACTGAATCTTGGAAGGAAGAGGGGTTTTGCCTAAGATGACATAAGCAGCAAGTTCAATTCTTTCAGTGCACAGTAAAGCCTAAGCTACTGGAGCAATCCTGATTCAAGGAGAACCCTCGGCTCAGCATTCCCCCGTCTCCAATGAACTCAGCTCAGCTCAGCAGGCACTCTTAGTCCTGGCAGAGTAAGCCTGGAAGTAGACTGCTCATGCAAAGCCACAGTTTTTCTTATTGCCCTAAGATTACAGGACAGCTAGTGGCCATCTAATCTCAGATTCAAGACCCCAAATCTCCTTGTGCCTGTTGAGGTGAGGGCAGGAAGTGGACACTGGAGAAGTCCTAAGAAACAGGAGCCAGACGGTTCCTCAGCTGGGTCTGACATACCCTTTCCCAAAAGTCTAAAAAGTTTGATCGGGATATTCATTTAGCTACCTCAAATTCCATGTTTCTCCTGGGAGATTGAGAATGGACTTCCATTCTGAAAGGAGAATCTCTGAAAGCAAGGGAGGACTTCTGAGATCTTTCCTAAACCCAGGCTCAGCACTCGGGCAGAAAGGAGTGGGTCAGGGCTGGAGGGAGCCCTGGGGCTCTGTTCCAAGCTTCACACTCATGTTCATTAGCCCAGGGCCCTTCCTCTCTCTTCTTGCTCCATCCCCTCCTCCCTCAATGGCCAGATACAGGGATGGCTCTGGGGTTGGTCAGAGTTTGAGGGCAGAGGGCAGGGAGGAGCTGGCAGAGAAAAAAATCAGAGCTACATTAGGGTGGGGTCAGGATACGAGGGGACCTAGAGAGGTCAGAGGAAAGCTGGGGTGGGAGGCAGCCCCCGCCCCTCCCCGCTACCCAGACTCCTCGGAATCAGCTCCGTCCACCTGCGCTTCTCCTACCTCCAGACCTGGCCGAGCTGCAGGAGGTGGACGAGGGTTTGCAGCAGCCAGACGCAGAGGCGACAGCAGCGGCGGCGGTGGGCGCTGGCCGAGGAGGGCGCGGGCCGGGGTCCCAGCTCGGAGCCGCCTTCTTTGGCCAGGAAGGCGGCGGCGCTGTCCTTGGTGCTGACGGAGAGCCCGCCGGCGCCGCTGTCCTTGGTGCTGACGGCGGGTCCCAGGGTCCCCGCGGGCTCCGTGTAGTCGTAGACGAACCAGCGGAAGCTGAGCAGCTGCACCACCAGCGAGGGCAGGAGTACAAACAGCAACGTGAGGCCGAAGTAGGTCCGCTGACCCTGCAGGTAGTAGGAGGCCGCCAGCCACAGGTCCGTGGCGCCGTCGGAGAAGAACACGAGCAGCGCGCACAGCACCCAGCAGCAGTCCCGCAGCCCGTAGCGCGGCCCCGAGCCCCCCGGCCCGGCCACCTCGGGGCCCCCGGCGGCCGCCGCCTCCCCGCGCGCGCCCGCGCTGCCCCGGGCTCCCCGGGCCGCCCCCTCCGGCGCCGGGCTGGCCGTGGCCGCCGCTCCATCAGACTTCGCGGCCATGTTGGCGGAGCGGGAGGCGGGGAGCGACTTCCGGGAGGCGGAGGGGGTGGGGTGCGGAGTGGGGAGGACACTGAGCCGGTGGCTCCGGCCTCCTCCTCTTCCTCCTTCTCCTCGTCTTCCTCCTCCCTCTACTTCAATTATTCATTACCCTTGGCGCCGCCCTCACCCCTCCTCCTCCCGCCGGGCCTGTGGCCGGATGGGGAGCACCCCCCTCCCCGGGAAGGGAGATGGGGACAGGGGAGAGCATCCCAGGTCACCCTCTCCTTCCTTCCTCGGAGGTGGGGGGCCCCAGCCACATGCTCTCTGCTCTCACCCCTCACCCTGCTCCACCTCCTTCCTTTCTCTTTTCTGCACCGCGCCCCTCTCCATCCGCTCCTTTTTCATTTATCTCCTGTGTTTACCTCCGGGGGCCTGGGTCTGAGGAGCGTGGGGGGCCAGGAACTTGGATGGGGCGGCTTAGGCGGGCACCTCAGTAGCTCTTTAGCAATCATCCCGTGCTAACAGGCCACTTCCTAGTCTCCAGTGTTCACATATTGTTCCACTCCCTTCTTTTATCTTGAGAGGTCCCTTTTGTTATTGTCTTTTGAAGCTGAGAAAACTGAGCTCTGAGAGTTGCTGTCTCTTCCCCACTCTCTGCGTTCCCACAGGAACAGCCTTCATCTGGCCGCAGCCCTCTAGCGAGGGGCAGGGAAGGGATGGGAGGGAGCACCGGGTGGAGGAAAGAGCTAGTACAAAGGCCTGAGACTGGAGGACATGTTTTCAAGGAAGTCTGGGTCACAGATCTAGGGAGGTGGAAAGCTGAGAAAGTTGGAGCTGGAGCGTTCTGAGGGGTGAGATCCTACAGGGCCAGAAGATATGCTTTATCCAAGAAGCAATGGGGAACCACTGCGGAATTTGAGCAGGGGGTAATGTGATCAAGTCAGGATTTTGAAAGAAGACCCTGCAGCCAGAGGAGAGAAGTGCTCACAGTGAAGCAGCCTGGGAATGGAGAGACCAGATGGAAAAAATAAAGAGTAATCCGGGAGAGGGGGCAGGATCCTTCAGACATCCTGGATGCCCCCAAGTCCCCACTCCCTTTGCTCAGAATGAATATACTGTTGCAATGTACCCCGCGAATCACAGAAGGACGCCTCAAGAAGTCGAATTAAAGAGTCACGTTTATTGCAATCCGGGACTATGAGGGGCCATCCCCAAATCTCATACCAATAAGATGGTGGCAAAACCAGATTTATATAGGCAAAAATCACAAAGGTATTGATTACATCCCAGGGTTTGGAATGTGGCACCTGGCTCCCAAAGAAGCAGATTACAGAAGCAGAATTAAGCATGTTAATTACAGTTTCGGGTCTCGGGGTCACTGAATTGACAGAAATACATTATCTAGAGCCCTTAGGTAACCTGGGTTAAACTTAGGCATGTTATCTAAATTACAGTTTTGGGTCTCCGGATCACTGGGTTGATAGAAACACACTATCTAGAGCCCTCTGGTCTCCCGACCACTGAGTTGTCAGGACAATTTAGAGTAATTGTGCTGTTCTGGTCTCGGGACCACTGAGTCAGCTGGAACACACCACCTGTGGCCACTAAGACAATTTAGTGTAATTGTGCTGTCCTGTTTCCAGGTACAGTAGAATGTGCTCTCTAAGACCAGTATGATAACAATCAATGGAACAGTCATTCAATCGATAAGGCATTCAATCAAATGGGATGACTTATACAATTTAGAAAATCAAAGTAACCTGTCCATTGTTAAACAAAGCAAATAGGTACCATACTTCAATACCAGGGTTAATTATGCAAACACTCATATACAGCAGTCTCCTTTTGCTCAGGACTGTTCTAAGCACTGTACAATTACTAACTCATCCTCACAATTTGTGAGGTAATTTGCATTTTCCCTTCCCATTTTATAGATGAAGAAACTGAATCAGAGAAGTTAATTCATTTGCTTGGGGTCACACAGCTGGAGCTAAATTCAAACCCATAGTCTGGTTCCAGAATTGTTTTTTCTATCTTCCAAGGGGAGAGGCGAGTTAAGTGAGAAGGGGAGGAAAGAAGAGGGGAGGAGAGGAAGTGTGAGGACCGCCCTGCTTCAGCGTGGCAGGAAAGGGGAGATGGAGGGAGACAGCTGCCCTGGTCAGGAAGGAGCAGCCATCTGCAGTCCTGTAGCCCAGCATCCCTTTAGTGTCCAGGGACTGATTCGGTCCTGGCAATGCTCAGGAGGGTGAAGTGCCAGCTGTTGCCCAAAGCTGAAAATGGAGGAGGAAAAATTAGGGATTAAGGGAGTTTCCCAGGCTGGATTCAAAGCTGACAGTCCCTATCCAAGGACATATGTAGACTAGTGGGAGTGTTTGTGCGTTGGGCTAAAGGGAAGTCTGAATCCCAATGTGACTTGGGCAGGAACAATATCTTTTTTCTTTCTCTCCTACAACCCTAGGCAGGAAGACTCATGAGTGCACAGCGCTCTGGGTAGAGGGAAGGTTTGGCTCTAGAATGCCTTATGGCCCTGGGCCAGTTCTGCATGTGTCTGGATCTCTGCCCTCTCACAGGTCCTGGAGGGGGCCTGACAGAATTAGGTTCTCCCCTCTGCCCCACCCCCACCCCAAGGAGGGAACCCCTCTACTTCCCGTGTCTCTCTACATCCCAGGATCAGCCCATTCAAACAGACAGTCCAAGACACACGTTTATGTCTGAGATTCTGGAGCCAGGAAACCTAGGTTCACAACCTACTCTCCCCTTCCTGGCTCCATGACCGAAAGTCACTCAATTTCGCTTAGCTTAGAAAAAAAAAAAAAGTAAAATGAAGGGCTAGTGCCTTCCTCCTAAGGCTGCGGTGAGGATAAATAATATTAATTATTAGCTGGGTGACGTCTCCCACAGGAAGCCCTCCTGGATCGCCCACCCAGCTATACCCTGCTCTCTATCCCTCAGAGAAGACTCCCTGACACACCCCGTTACGAGCTTCCATCACACGTTAGTCTTCCTTCTCAGCATCAGTACACTGGCAATTTATTTTAGTTATGTTTGGAACTGCCTCGGAGCTCCATGAGAGTTGAGACAATTCATCTTTTTTCTTTTTCAGAAAAGGTTTTTTCACTCACAGGGGGAAGGAGGTTCGGTCCTTCTTGACCATCAGGACATTACTCAGCTCTTTTCTCTTCTTCTTGGTGCAGAGATGTGTCTCCACCCTTTTCTGGCATGCCGCTCATACTGGGCAAAGCTGCACACCTCGCAAGCCATCTCCTGCACAAAGTTGGGGTGCTTGGTGAGGGGGTGCCTGCCGCAGTGGTGGCAGTGGCAGTGGCTGTGACTCGGCTTGCTCACATTCTTGTTCACTTTGAGGCCCTTGTTGCGGCCCATGGCCATGGGGTAGTGCAGATCCATGGCTGCTGCTTTCAATGGCTGCTGCACCAGAAGGATTCATCTATTTTCTTCACCAACAATTCTCTGAGCACTGAGTGCTATGCATGGCACTCAATAGATATTCTATAAAAATCATTGATTGAATGAATGAATGATGAATAAATGAATGATGATCAACCTTATGAAATAGGTTCCGCCCTAGCAGGTTTGGCTCAGTGAATAGAGCCTCAGCCTGTGGACTGAAGGGTCCCGGGTTCAATTCCAGTCAAGGGCACATGCCTGGGTTTCAGGCTTGATCTCCAGTGTGGGGCGTGCAGGAGGCAGCAGATCAATGATTCTCCCTCACATTGATGTTTCTATCTTTCTTTCCCTCTCCCTTCCTCTCTGAAATCAATAAAAAAGAAAGAAAGAAAGAAAAAGAAATAGGTTCCATTATTGTCCCCATTTAAGAAAAAAAATCTTTATTGTTAAAAGTATTACATATGCCCCCCCCCCAATTTTGTCTTAAATTGGGCGAAAGAGAGAGAGAGAGAGAGAGAGAGAGAGAGAGAGAGAGAGAGAGAGAGAGATCCACCAGTTGCCTCCTACACGTCCCGCACTAGGGACTGGGCCCCACCCAGGCATGTGCCCTGACCAAGAATCAAACAGGACCTCTCAGTGCATGGGACGATGCCCAACCAACTGAGCCAGGTTCCTCCCTATTTTATAAGCAAGGTAACTGCCTCAGACAAGGGCAGGGACTTACAGAATTAACAATCCCTTCTGTGTGCCAGGAGCTGCACTAAGAACTTTACTGATATGACCACGTGTTATCCTCAAACCAGTCACTCTTTTGGGTGAGGCAACTGTGACTCGGGAAGGTGTTGCCACTTACCGGAGGCCATTAGTTAGGAAATAGCGGAGCAGGCATTCAAGAGCTCTAATCCAGGCAAGTGGGGACACAGAGGAAGGATTTGATGGGGTGTGGGAGTGACCCACTATCAGGGGACTCTGCCCTGAGCATTTGGACTGGTGTGTTCTCAGTGGCTGAGACCAGAGATCAGGGATTCAGATTAGGACCAATAAGGAAGTACAGGAGTGGGGTTCCAGTGGTGGGGCGGGATGGTAGGGTGGTAGGGGAAAGAACAGCTTGGGCAAAGGCTCTGCAATGGGGCTGAGGCCAGGCTCATTCAAGTGCTAAAAAGAGGCTGGGTCAGGCTGGTGTGGAGGGAGAAGGTGGACCACAGCTTGTCAAAACTAGACAGGCCCTTTGAGATCTCATCCAGCTCCCCAAGTTCCTCTCTCATTTTATAGATAGAGACACGGAGGCCCAGAGAGAAGTCCCATATCTACCAAGTGGCAGAAGCAAATCTGAGAGCCTTTCCTTGGTTGCCAGGTGTATGGTCTCTGGGCTTCATTGGGAATCATTCTCGGGAACAGCCCTCCTCACATTTTCTCAATTAATTGAGAGCTCAGTCCATGCCTCCTGCACCCTCAGCTTGGACCAGTTTCTAATGATATTCCTTTAGTTCCTGTGCAAACCATGCACAAGATAATCGGCACAGCATTGTTAATAGCAGCAAATATTGGTACTGACCCAAATAGCCCTCAGTAGGAGGCTGGCTAAATAAGTCATGGACTTCCTGACAACGGAATAGCATGTGGCAGTGAAGGAGGCGATGAAGCTCTCTGTCTCCTAATACAGAGGCCTCCCTGGGGGAAAGCAAGGGAGAGACTAGGAGACAAAGTAAAAGGGGGCAGCAACAGAATTTGGGGAACCAGCTAGTATTGTAAGAAATATTAATCATGCTCTGTTAACCGTGATTGTTTTATTCTGATTAAAGAAGGCACATTCCACCCTGGCTGCTGCAGACCTGGAGATGCAGCCCTTCCTGCCCTTTTGGAGCTGCCTATGATCATGGAGAGATGAACAAAGATTTGTTACAGACGCCAGAATCGCCAGCTCTTTGAAGAGCCCCAGCCCTTTTGCACACCTACGGGCCTTTGCAGACCTCCAGCCTGCTCACCTGTTAACTGCCCATCTGGCACCCCCTTTTGCTATTTCCCCTATGTAACCCCAACCCTGCATATCACTAAGCCCTTTGAAGACCCCCAGTTCTCTTGCATATCTGCAAACTGCCCTTTTGCCTACTTTTCCTTTGTACTTTTACTATATAAGTAACTGGCTTATGGTGGGGTGCAGAGCAGATTTCTGGGGCTGACCTGCTGCTCTCCCATGCTGCCGGCAGGACTGGAATAAACGCTCATATATGATTCAACCCTGTCTCTGCTTCATTGGCTTGAGCAGTGACAGGCAGCACGGACCCATTGTTTGTCCGGTTACAAAAGCTGAGTGAAACGGGGGCATAATCTATATTTGCATAATATGTATTTGTACATGCATACAGAAACTTTGGAAGTGTAAAAATAAGAAAATGAGATTACTGAAGGGAGCACGGGGAACAAGGATGGGAGGGAGACTTCATTATATGTCTATCTATACTTTTTTTTGGAATCATGTGAATGTATTTACCTATTAGTAAAATAATATAATAATGGGACAGCTGCTACTCAGCTACTGCTGAATGCTGTCATATGGGAATAGGCAGTCAGTATGGTCCAATTTTCTAATTATTCAAGAGAAGCCAGAAATCTGGACTGTATTGTAAAATCTCTTCGTTTTTAAAGATTGGCTTCATTTTTTTCTCTCAAACACTTTTCAGGCCAAGTAAATAGGTCAGTGGGTCAGACACGGCCTGAAGGCCACCAGTTTTCAGCCTCAGCGCCAATGGCTTCCTGCCCCCAGGGCTGGAGTTCTCAGTACCCCAGGTCTCTGTCCCCACAGTGGGCAGCTGCGGACAGAAAGTGCCTTGTCCAGCCCCTCTCCTGGCACCTTCCAACCCTCACCCCTTGGGCTGTGACACTTGGGGCTTTTAACTGGAGATCTGGAAGGCAGAGAGGGGTTATGAACTCTCAGATAATTTTCTCTCCCGGGGCCCTCAGGCATCGAGGTCCAGCTGCCCACCCATCTGTCCCTGGGACATGGGGACAGCAGTGGGGCTGGCAGGAGGGAAGGAGGCACCACTCTGAGCCTCAGATCATCAGGCTTTGTTGAGTCTCAGAATCTAAGAGAAGAAACCGAGAAATTGCAAGAAAAGAAAAGCAGGGGCTTAGCCGCCCCTCCCAGGTGTGTGCTGAGAGAATCCACCAAATTACAAAATGCCAGAGCTGGGAAGGCCCTGAGGGGTCATCTTATCCAACCCCTTCGTTGCATCATACCGCCCCAGGCCATGGCCTTGTCACCTCGCTCCTGGACAACTGGACTGCACCATCCCTTCTTTCCCTTCCTAATGTTCCATCTCCACCATTACCAAGAGGGGCCTTTTAAAAATATATATGTTTTTATTGATTTTAGAGAGAGGGAAAGGGTGAGAGACGCCAAAATAACATCAATGTGAAAGAGAAATATCAACCGGGATCGAACCAGCAACCTAGGTATGTGCCCTAAGTGGGAATTGAACCGGCAACCTTTTAGTGCACAGGACAAAATTCCAACCAACTGAGCCATACTGGCCAGGGCCAGAGGGGCCTTTTTGAAAGAGGAAATTTGACCAGGTCCCATGTCTTCTCAGAAGCTTCTGGCAACTTCCTACCTCACTTTGAGCCAAAATCCTCAGTGCTGTCTACAGTCTCTCTCCCTCTCTTCTCTCTGACCTCACCTCCTTCCGCCTTCCCCTTGCTCATTCTAATCCAGCCACTGGTACTTTGCTATTCCTTTAACACTTCAGCCTTCTCCTTCCCACCTGACTTTTGTTCCTGCTATTCCCCAGGGATTCACAGGCTCCATCTTCTTCTTCTCTAAAATGTTGCCTCTTCAGATGGGTATTTCTGATATTTTCCCCTTGACACTCTGCCCTCACCTGCCTTATTTTTTATCCAAAGCACTTACCACTACATGATGCTATAATACGTATTTATTGGTTTCTTGTCTAGAATATAGGATCTGTTAAGGCAGCAATCATGCCTATATTGTTCACCACTGTGTCCTCAGCACTCAGCAGAGCTTGGCACATAGATGCTTAGTGATCCCGAGCCAGCTGTGACTCAGTTCTATAATTCACGTAACACTAGTCCTGATTCGGCCATTACTGGCTTAGGTGACCTTGAGCAAGTCACCTCACCTCTCTGGGCCTCAGTTTCCTCATTTGTAAAACAAGGGAGTCACCGAGACGCGTTCAATCCAATAATCCTGGATGTCTTCTCTGTTCTGATGTCACTTTCTTCCCCCTAGAGTCTGAAAGTCCTTTAAACAAGCATGGTTGTATTTATTTATTGAACAGCTAATACATTCCCATGGTTCAAAATTCCAAGGTGCAATGGGGACACGGCTGTCTCTCCTACCTTGCCAACACCCGCTTTACAGATGGGTCAAGGCACTCATCCCCTCTCAAGAGAGGGGAAATCGTGATTCCATCTTCTACCCTCTTTCCAGTGGAATGAATTAATCCTGAAAGGTCTGGCTGATACAGAAGGGGAAGAGCCCTAGCCGGTTTGGCTCAGTGGATAGAGCGTCGGCCTGCGGACTCAAGGGTCCCAGGTTCGATTCCGGTCAAGGGCATGTACCTTGATTGCAGGCACATCCCCAGTGGGGGGTGTGCAGGAGGCAGCTGATCGATGTTTCTAACTCTCTATCCCTCTCCCTTCCTCTCTGTAAAAAATCAATAAAATATATTTAAATATATATATATATATATATATATATATATATATATAAAAGAAGGGGAAGAGAGAGAGACAGACAAACAGACAGGACCCTTAGTTTCCTCCAGTGCATGGCCTGACTCAGCCATCCCGCAGATCTCTCCTTTGGCATCCTCTGAGGGTCCTGGGTCTCATGGGCACTCAAGGTGATAAGAAAGCCAAAACTATGGCTGGCAAAAAAAAAAAAGTCTATTACAAAAGAGTAAAGTGATCGATGCCAGAAGAAAAAGAGGACCGACGTCCCTCTGGAAAATCTGAGACAGTGACCTTCCTGGGGGGCCAGGCCAGGCAGGGAGGGTCTTTTATGAAGCGGGGCCTTAAGGGAGGAGTAAGCACTCAACACGTGGAGACAGAAAGCTAAGGCAACTCCAGACAGAGGGCACAGCCAGAGCACAGGCAGAGAGGTGGGAAAGTCAGGGTGTGTCTAGGAACTAGGGTTCAAGAAAAGAGGAGGAAGATGCGGTGGAGAAGTTGAACTCACAGACAGGAACCAGGAGACGTATCCCTGCGGGATCATTGCAGCAGTACTTCTAATCCTGAAAGATGGAAAACAACTTAAATGTCCATCCACCAGAGAATGTCCAGTAACTGTGATACTAACAACCACCACACGGCAAGCCATAGGAAGACAGATAGTACCCAATGTTGGTGAGAATGTGCATCCCTGGTAGACGTGTAACTGAGCACAGCCATTCTGGAGAGGGATGTGCAGTGTTTAGGAAAAACAAGTATATGCCTGTCCCCTGAGAAGGGGCTAGCACACTCGGGTGTGCAGTGTGGCACTGTGTGTGCTGATGGGGAGGAAAAGGGAGCACAAGCATCCGCAGCCAAGGGATAGGACAAGCAACATGTGGGGAAGCGGTTCTGGGTTCTTGGGAGCTGCCAGGAGCAAGGAACTAAAGGTGCACAGAGCACATGGATAGATCAAAGAAACATCAGGATGAGCAAACACACACACAGACAGAAAACAACAACGTAGGAAGTGAACACCACTTAACGGCACAATCGTATTTACATGGATCAAAAATACTAAAACTGGACATACCCAGCAATCCCATTCCTGTGTACACACAACAGAAACACATAGATATGTGCATGTTTCCCAAGACACATACATGACTGTTCATACTGCACTGTTTGCAACAGCCCTAAGCTGGAGACCACCGCATGTCCCCCAACGGCAGAATGGTTTAATTGCAGGGTCGCCATCCAATGGAGTAAGCGATCTATAGCTACAAACAACAATAGAGATAAATCTCATGAACTACATGGTGAACGGAAGAAATCAGGCACAAATGAGCTCGCACTGTGTGATTCCATTTGTATAAAGTTCAAAAACTAGCAAAGCCAACGTATGGAGTTAGAGATCAGGGGCGTGGTTATCCCGGGGTTGTGGTTGGGAGGACTTGGAGGGGACCTCCTGAGGGGCTGCTTGATCCAAGTGCTCGTTAACATGGGTGTGTTTAGTTTTTGAAAGTTCGTGAACTGTACACTTATGATTTGTATAACTCTTCTGTGTGTTATACCTGGATAAGAAATTTTAAAATATACAAACACATAAGACAATTACTATGCATTTCGGAAGAAATCTCAAATATTTAAGAACATATGTCAAACGCAGTAGGGAGGGTCTGAGTGGGGGTGTGGGGAGAAGGAGAAAATAATAGAGACAAGACAGGGCCTTTGCAGACGAACTCATGACCATATGCTAAGAACCGAGAGGTGGGGTTAATTAACCCTCTGTATTTCGGTGCATGAAAAATAAATGTAAAATTTAACTTAGAAAGTTAGATAAACAAATGAACTACGGTGCTTATACTACAGAACATTCTGCAGCGATCAGGAAACAGGAGGCAGATCAAACACACCAATTAAAGACTTCCAAGAGCGAACAGGCTGCAGAATGATACACTTGTGTGCAGGGCCCTCCAGTCCCCCTTCCTACCTGCCACACAGAAGAGTCCCAATCTGTTCTCCGGGTTCCTAACTACGTCTTTAAATGAATATCACAGTTCTGAAAAGACACACCCAGTTGGGACTCCGGAGAAAACTGAGATGGGGAGGGGGGTGTCAAAAGGGACTTTAAGTCTTCGCTGTAATTTAGTCTTTTCATTTTTGATAAGAATCTATTCATGGCATTTAGAAGGAAAGGATTTAGTATTAGAGGTAGTGGCAAAGACCAGCTCAGGGGGGCCTGGAATATTCTGGGCTTGTGTTCTCTTTCGGGTCATTTAAGAATTTTCCAGTCCAGCCTTGGGACCATCTGTTGCCTGATGAAACTGAGGCATGGGGAGTTGAGGGACGGGTCTCCACCTGGCGTCCCCATCTGGCTCATGACCTTGGGAAGTCCCATCCCCTTCCCGGGCCTCAATGTCTTCATCCGCCCAATGGGAATTAGATGTCTGTGTTCCAGGGGATGTGGGAGGATGAAATGAGGGCACGGAGAGAATCCCATGAATATAAGGGATTATTCTCTGGGTCAGGGGAGGCAGGGAGTGCAGGCCTCCCCTCCACCTGCCAAGCCCACAAGCGCACAAAGGAAGCGGAGGGAGGAGTTGGGGGCCACCCAGGCGCATGTTGTCAGCAGCTGGCCTGATTGCTCACAGGTCAGAGCCTGTGGGCAGCCACCTGGGCTGCCTGCAGAAATGGATATGACATGCTTCTTGCTGCTCCCAGCCTCCGTGCAGCCACAGCTCTGTCACCTTTCCAAGTCCCCATCATCGCCTTCCCACCCACAACACACACACACACTCACACACACACATACACACACACACACACTCAACTCACACACACAGAGGACTGCACCACATTTACTCCTTTTCGTCCATTCTATCCCCACAGCCAGAGGGGGCTTTCAAAAGTAAATCCAATCATGTCTCATGTTTATTCAAAACCCTCCAGTAGATGCCCTGATCTAAAAACAAAATCCAACCCCCTTACCCTAGCCAACAAGGTCTGGCATGATCTGCCATTCTCATCATCCACCTCCAGCATGGGGGTTAAGATCCTGGCCTCAGGGAGAATCTGCCTTGGATAGAATTCTGCCCGCCCTCTCCCCCTTCCCTCCCCACCCCCACCCCATCCCCCGCCTCCATTCATTCAAAAATGTTTATTGAGCACCTAATACAGGCTAGGTACTGTTCTAAGCATTTGGGAGACATCAGTAACAAACCAGACAAAGGTCCCTGGCCTCATGAAGCTCCCTTTATAGCAGAGGGAGGTTAACAAGAAATACAAGTGTCCTAGCAGGTAGCTCAGTTGACTAGGGCATTAACCCCATACACCAAAGCTTCGGGTTCAGTCACCAGTCCAGGCACTTAACAGAATCAACCACTGAATACATAAATAAGGGGACAACAAACTGATGTTTCTCTCTCTCAAATCAAGAAATAAAACTTAAAAAACACAAGTAAGTAAATTATACAGCACGCTCGGAATGACAAATGTTATTTTTAAACAAAAGAAAAAGTAAAGCTAAGGAAGTTGATCAGGAGTACTGGGAGGAGTGGGGGCTTGCATTTTCAAAACAGGGTGGTCAGGGTAAGCCTCAGTAAGAAGGTGGCATTTAAGCAAAGACTTGTAGGAGGTGAGGGTGGAAGAAACGTAGACATCAGAGGAAAGTGCAGGCCGAGGGAGCAGCCAGTGCAAAGGCCCTGAGGTGGGACTGCACCTGGTATGTGTGAGGGACAGCAAGGAGGTGGGAGAGGTGGGAGATGCCTTAGAGAGGTAGGGCAGCTCATGTGGGGCCTCGTGTGACTCGGTGAGGAGTTTGGCTTTTACCGAGTGAGATGGGAGTGTTGGAAGGTTTTGACCATAAGGGAGTGGGAGAGGCAGAACCAGGAGGGAGAGGAAGCCAAGCAGGGTGCCTTGTGGGTGGCTGCTTCAGCCTTATCCCACAGGGGAACTCTGGGGGGTAATTATACCCCAGAGTTATCCACCCACGCCCATGCCAGCAGCCCACGCAAACGGTGGGCTTTCAAATCCCTGAAATGATGGGGTACAGCTCATGGGGACAGTTAGTCACCCATGAGGCTCCAGAAGCCTGAGGGCAGTCCTCCCAAGGAGAGAAGCAGGGCTGGTTGCTGAACACTTACCCCAGGGAGGCTCACAGAAATGGTAAATAGGGGTCCAATGGGAATGGGTGATGCATCGTTCTTGTTGGCTCCTGTCCCCAAACACCAGAGCCCCCGCACCACCGCCCTTTTGGCCTGGGTTTGGGGTGGGTAAAGATGGGAGGCACACCCCAACGTGGCCAGGTAGAGTTTCTCTGGTTAGAAAAGACTTATAGGCACCACTCCCATCCAGGACTGCAGAGGGATTCACGTCTGCAATATCCCGACCCTGTGGCTGTCCAGCTTTACATACCTTCTGGGATGAGGTACTACTTAGCTCTGTTCACCTTTGGATAGTTCGGGTTGTAGAAAGTTCTGCTTCATGTTGAATCCACTCACTCATACAGTAAACATCAACTGAGCACCTGCTGTGGGTCAGGCACCATTCTAGGTTCTGGTAACACAGCTGCAAACAAGACAGGCGAGGTCCCTGTCTTGCGGAGCTCCTGACTGGAGAGGGAGACGACTAGAGAAAAAAGATGGTGTGGTAAGTGCAGTGGTGGGGAAGCCCAAGAAGCTGGGAAGGCCAGAGGGGACTCTTGACTGTGGGGGGAGGAGGTGACACCAAGCTGATAAAGGGGAGCTATGTAGTAGTTCCATGGGTACAAAGGTATAGGGAAAAATTAATCCAGGCTGATGGAGGAATGTATGCTAAGTCCCTGGAATCCCACCAGTGCTCACCATCCCCACTGCCACCCTGGTTCAGTGATCATCCTATCTTACCTGGATGGTTGTAGCAGTCTCCTTTTGGGTCTCTTACAGAGGAGCAAAGAAGCTGGGGTATGTAGCCACAAACTCACTCTCTCTCTCTCTCTCTCTCTCTCTCTCTCTCTCTCTCTCTCTATATATATATATATATATATATATATATATATATATTTGATTTCAGAGAGGAAGGGAGAGAGAGAGATAGAAATATCAATGATGAGAGAGAATCATTGATCAGCTGTCTCCTGTGTGACCCCTACTGGGGACTGAGCCCTCAATCTGGTTATGTGTCCTAACCAGGAATTGAATAATTGAATAATGACCTCCTGGTCCATAGGTCAATGCTCAATCACTGAGCCACATTGGCCAGGCTCCTCTCTCCTCTGGGTTGAGGGCAACTCCTTGCTGCATTCCCTACTCAACCTGCATTCATGAGCAGAGAGAAGCAGGAAGCTGGAGCATGTGCAGCAGTGTCTGCATGTGCACTCCAGGGAGGGCTTTGCCAATTTGGGCAGGGCACCTACAGGCCCTTCTATAGCCCCACATGTCCAGTGCCTCATTTCCCTTTCTGACCTTATCGTCTACCTTCTCCCCCTTGCTCATTCAGTTCCACCTACACTGGCTTTGCTGTTCTTCCAACTTCCAGGGCATTTGCATCCTGTTCCCTCTACCTGGAATGCTCTTCCCCCAGGTTTCCACATGGCTCACCTTACCTCCTCCACCTCTGCTCGAATGACAGGTCTTCAGAAAAGCCCTGCCTGACCACCTTATCTCAAAGAGCCCCCACCTCATCATTTCCTCCCCACCTTGCCCTGCTCTATTGTTCTCCAGAGTACTTATCCTCACTTCATATGATATATTTACTTGTTCATGTTTATTGTCTGACTCTTCCACCAGACTGGAAGCTTCTGAGGGCAATGACCATGTCTGGGTTTGCTCATGGTGGAATCCCTAAAATAGGGCCAAGGTAGTCAGGAAATATCTGTGAAATCGACGGTTCTGAAACAGAAGTGGTTCTGAAACAAGAGTCCTTCCAGATCTGACTATCTGTCTCGATATGACCTCCCCAAAACTTCCAGTGGCAGCCAACAACCTGCCAATGTAGAAGCCTCCCTCAACTCAGCCTTTCCCCATCTAGGCCCATCTGGCAGGGCTCAGTGATTGGCCTGGTCCAGCTCTCCACCCCATGGTGGAGGAGACCCAGTTCTGGGGTCCAGGCCCCGGCGAGGCCTGCTGAGCCCTGTTTCTCCTTTGGTAAATCCCCCCCCCCCCCCGCCCCCTTCCCAGGGCTTGTGTCTGTGTTTCTGAACCAGAAGGTGTTTACACAAAACATCCTGGGTTTGGCAACAAATTTACCCTCAATGAGAAATCCTTAATGAGTCTCCTTTTTCTCCACACCAGGCAGCTGCAGGGAAAACTAGCTCTGCCTCTGGCGGTTTAAGGCAGCCAAAGGCCAGGCAAAGAGGAGGTGCCACTGAGACTTATGGGGCCACAGTTTCAGGGTCTAGAGACAGCTGTGGTATGAACACCAGAAAGCTTCTAGATCTAGACCCACGTATGCTCCTGACTTTCTGCATGAGAAGGCATTGCCCTTCTCCCAGCCTCAGTCTGCAGCTGTGGAAGCGGATAGGAATAACCCACCCATACAAAGGTTGTGAAGTTCAGGTAAGGGAAGGGGTGTGAAAGCGCTTGGTCACAGGGGCCAAAAGGAGGGAATAAAAAGCTGGACTCTGGGAGGCAGGAGGTCAGAATTCTAGTGTCAGGTTCGCTGTTGACTTTTTAAAGTCATGGCTGCTCTCTGAGCCTGGGTTTTTCCGGCTTTACAATGAGGGGTTTGGGCATGATCTCTAGGGAACCCACTGGTTGTAAAGGGCAGCCACTTTTTCTACCTGCCTGCCTCTTCTTGGAGGCCCCCCTGGATCCTATGGCCCACACTGATTTGCGTTTCAGCACTTTTAGAACTTCATGGTTTTCCAGCCACTTCCTCTAGGAGGTCAACTACTCCGGACATTGGGCCCAACACCAGGGCTCAATAAACACTGGCCAAACTGAGTTGAAAAGGGATTTCTGCCTCTTCTGATCCTGCAGAGAGACCATGAGAAATATTTTTATTCACTCCCATTTCATAAATTATAAACATAAGGTCTCACAGGTTAAATATAAGTCACACTGCTACATGGGCTTCCTTGATGTTCCTTAAAAAGGGAAGTAATAATTTCTATTTCTCCAGCCTTATCTCGGCCAGCTATGGTATGTAATTATTTTTTTGGTCATCAGTTGTCGGATTTTCCCCTTAGGATGAAGTTTCACGAGGGCAGGGACTTTGTTTTGTTCACTGCTGCATTCTCAGCGCCTGAAACTGCCTGCTTAAGAAATGTATGAAGAGCCCTAGCCGGTGTGGCTCAGTGGATGGAGTGTCAGCCCTCGGACTGAAGGGTCCTCGGTTCGATTCCAGACAACTGCACGTACCTTGGCTGCAGGCTCCATCCCATGCCCAAGCGTGCGGGAAGCAATCGATCCATGTTTCTCTCTGTGTGTCTCTTCTTCGCTCTAAAAATCAACGGAAAAAATACCCGCAGGTGAGGATTAACAACAAACAAACAAAACCTATGAAGAGAAGGCAGAGGTTAAGAGGAGCACCGAGGACTGTGCTCTCTGGGCCTGCAGGGGGCGCTCCAACCCCGCCCCCACAGGTAGGCCCCGACTCGGGTGCACTGGAGCGCGCGCGCGCCGCCGGGCCTCTTCCCATTGAGCATGCGCGCCGGAAGCCCTGTGAGAGCGGCGCGTGCGCAGAAGGGGCCGCAGCGGAGCCAGAGCGGGCCTGGAGCCGGAGCGGGGTTGGAGCAGGCGGGCACCATGCTGTCACCCGAGGCGGAGCGGGTGCTGCGGTACCTGGTGGAAGTGGAGGAGCTCGCCGAGGCGGTGCTGGCGGACAAGCGGCAGGTAGGAGGCGCGTCCGCCGCGCAGGGGCCCGGGCTCAGCGGTTGGGCCTGGTGGCGATCGCCGTGGGGAAGTGCGCGGGGTCCGGAATCTGGCCCCGGCACCGGCTGGCAGTGAGTTTACCGGGACCGGTGGTCTAAGGGCTGTGGTGACAGACGTGGCAGATGGAGGTGATGTGGGCACCGCGCCGCAGCCATTTATGCAGACCTACGTGTTAGGGGAGCGCCCGCCCTGTGCCAGCCGTCCTCTCTCCATCCTTTCTTTGCCCTTTGCTGTGCCCTCCAGTTTCCGAACCATCACCCCTTTGGGCAGTTTACCTAGATCCCTTTTCCAAAAGGCAGTTCTGGGCTCCCTCATTGGCCTGGGCACCGTCCCCGTCGAGGCCCTGGGGGGGAGAAGAGGAACAGCAGGCGGTCTGCGTGTCTGTGATTGCGCAGGGCTGGGCCGTGGGAGGAACGTGGACCCCGGGCGTGGCGGGCCGCGTAGACCTGAACAGGGAGCTCGGCTCTGGTTCGAATGGAAGTGCCAAGTGGTTGAAGGGAGTTGCGGAGGGTGGGGAGGAGGGGAGCAAAGGATGAGGTACTGGATTAAGGTTTTAAAAGCATCCCTCTGGCTTCTCTGTGGAGCACAGTAAATACAGCAGCGGTTCTCAACCTGTGGGTCGCGACCCCTTTGGGGGTCGAATGACCCTTTCACAGGGGTCGCCTAAGACCATCGGAAAACACATATATAATTACATATTGTTTTTGTGATTAATCACTATGCTTTAATTATGTTCAATTTGTAACAATGAAAATACATCCTGCATATCAGATATTTACATTCCGATTCATAACAGTAACAAAATTACAGTTATGAAGTAGCAACGAAAATAATTTTATGGTTGGGGGTCACCACCACATGAGGAACTGTATTAAAGGGTCCCGGCATTAGGAAGGTTGAGAACCACTGAAATACAGGAAGGCAAGGGGCCATTGGACCAGGGTGGTGGTGGTGGAGACAGCAGATAGGGCAGTAATATATTTTGGAGATGGGCATGGTTTTGTTTTTCTTTAGAATTGTATATTTATTTTGACAAATTTCGGACAGTGGCAGTAAAGATTTTGTTCTACTAAAATCAATACAACCTCATCACTTTTCAATTGGTAAAAGTCAAGCGTTTTAAGAAAATGGCACAATAAAAACTAGCAGTGGACCAGCCTCGATGTGGCCTCCTCTTTACCACCTTTGTTGTAAGGGTTTTCTCTTCCAGTTTAGGGTCCTGGGAGAATGTCAGCGTAGCTTCCCCTTAATCCACTGCCATCCGGTTATTAGGTCTTGATGATGGTTACATAGGGGTCAGGGAGTAGGAGACAAGGATGATTCGTGACTCCCCATCTTCAGTTGGGATGATTGTTTGGAGGTTGGGTGGGTATTTACTGAGAAGGGGAAGACCTGGGGAAGAGCCTATTAATCAGGGCATCAGTGTGCTGAGTGATGATGATAATAGCAGGTTGTGAGTACTCACCAGGTGCAGGCACTGTGCTGACAATACATCGCGTTCCTGGCTCAGTAACCTGTGAGGAAGGTGAAGTCGCACAGTTACCAGCGTGCAGCAGGGTTCAAACCTGGGTGTTCTGGCCCCAGAGCCAGTGCTCTAAAGCCGTATATGGTACTCCCTCCTCACTCTGTAGTAGCTGTTGTGTTGTTACCACCATTTCAGGGCCCCCCTTCTGTTCCAGTCTCGTATTGTTGGGCTTCTCATGATATGAGGTCAGAATCAGCTGGAGGGGCTTGCCCCGGGAGAGGTTTCCATTCCTCATGATCCTAAAATGCCCTAAAGCTGAGAACTAGCGCTCTGGTGGAGAAAAAAGAATTATCTGTTTAGTCAGCATTTCCCCAGCACCTTCTCTTGGGGGAAAACATCTGCACCAACACGGTCTTTAAAAGGACCTGGGAGCTGAGTGGGGGAAGTGCATTCACACACCCGCCTGTCTTGGACAGGACCCTGGGAGTAGTCCAGGAATGATGCCTTGTTGTCTCTGTTGGGTGTTCATAGAGAGGTGGGTCTGTTGGAGCTGACAAGCTGGGGTGAGCAGTCGCTGAGCTCCCTCCTGCCTCTGTGCTTTTCAGATTGTGGACCTAGACGCCAAGAGGAATCAGAACCGAGAGGGCCTGAGGGCCCTGCAGAAAGAGCTCAGCCTCTCTGGTAAGTCACGACTCCTCCCTCCAGCCCAGGAGGCCTGTGCCATTTTCCGTCGAAGGCCTTTGCCTTGTCCCTAACAGAGCAGGCAGGAGGCTACAGGAGGCGACACACCCATGGAGATGGGGGAGGAAATTTCTCAGGTCTCACAGACTGTGGCTCGGGGTTTCAGCTGCTCAACTCCATGACAGGCCATCAGGTGCTGGCTTCGCAATGTTGGCACTGGGAAGTACAGGGAGGGGGGATAAATCAGTACAAATGAGCAGAACAACAGAAATACCTAATTGGAAATTGTGAGAAAGCTGAAGATGGGACTGGAGGTGGGATAGGTGTTGGAGGATAGGATGGGGGCTCTTAGAGGCCAAGTGGTTGTTGTGACACAATAAGCGAGGGGAAGGGCATGTGATGAAGCTGGAAAGATGGACAGAGGCTAGGCCATCATGAAGGGAAGAAGTTTGAATTTTATTTAAAGTGCATTGGAAGGTCTAAAACCATTGCTTTTCATCTGACCAGAGTAAAATCCAGAGTCCTGCAAGACCCCATGTAATCAAGACCCCCTACACTCTTCCAGCATCATCTCTATCCCCCCTCCCTCTCTGACTCAGTCCTTACTGGTCTCCTCGCTGTTTCTAACACCCCAAGCACATGACTGATTTTTTTTGCTGCAGGGCTCACACCCTCACTTTCTTCAAGTCTCTGTCCAGATGTCACATAATCAGCGAGGCCTTTTCAGACCACCAGGTCCAACAAGTCTCTCCCCTGCTCTGGCATTCCCCACCCCCTCACCCTGCTTTATTTTTCTCTGCAGCGCTTAGACCTGCTCGGACCTGACAAATGATAGCTTTGCCTGTTTATTTCCCTTCCTCCACTATAACTTGAGCTCTATGAGTGCAGGATCTTTGTATTGTTCTGCTGTGTTTTCAACATCTAAAATAATGCCTAGTGGATAGTAGGTGCTCAGAATATTTGTTGAAGGAATTACCATTTCCATTTCAGAAGATGTGATGGTTTGCTTTGGGAACATGTTTATCAAGATGCCTCACCCTCAGACGAAGGAAATGATTGAGAAAGGTAAGGCCTCCTGGGCATGAGTCAGGGAAACAGCTGCCTCCCCTTGGGGGGGGGGGGTGTGTGCATCTCTGTAGCCCCTTTTTTCTTTTGAAGTTGAGAGAAAACAGTATGTGTGCCGAGTATAATGCTTTATCTGTGGAACAAGTTGGACCACAAAGAACAGAAAATTCAACAAATTGAGGCTTAAAAAATTTGGTTCTGTTTTTCTCATGTAAGAAGTTATCTGGAGTCAGCCATCCAGGACTGGCATTGCCACTCAGCAGGGTCACCTTAGCATATTCTCATGGTGGTTGTGTCATCATTGCAGGGCTCATGTCCACGTGCCAGGCTGGAGGAAAGGCAAAGGGCTTTCTCCTTATATGGCAGGGGTGGGGAACATCTGGCCCGTAGGCTGTATAAGGCCCAAGAAATCATTTGGTCTGGCCCTGCCAAAGCATTAGGGGAGACCAAATATAGTAGGCTAATGTTTAAGTTGATAATTTTGTTCTAGTGCAAGAATGATGTTATAAATATCCAAAAGGCCCTTGGCAGAAAAACGGTTTCCCACCCCTGATATGGCCTTGCCTTCTGTTTTGGAAATTAGGCTGTCCTCCTCAGGGCCTTCTGCTGACATCTGTATGACCAGAACTAAGTTTCATGGCCCCCACAGATACAAGGGAGCCTGGCATAGTGAACTTTTATTTTTCACATCCCCTACAAGAGAGACTGTGTTGAAAATGGGGGTTTGGGGAGAGTGAACCTTAGGGTCAGCAACTAAATAGATGTTTCTCAAACATGGATGACTACAATTTCCAAAGCTCTTTGGAGATGCATCATAAAGGTAAAAAGTCAGGTTGCAAATGCATCCTTGGCTGGGAAAAGGGCAGGTTACATATATTTCCTCTTTTCTACCCTTGAAAATGTATAGGTTAAGAGGACCAGCAAGGTTGCCTCTGTCTCTGAAGACAGGGTGCCTCTATCCCTGTTGAAATAAAAATTCTAGCAAAGGATTAGCTTGGAATATAAGTTTCTGGTTGTCCTGTGAAAAACCATACACATTATGGTTATCAAATTGAGTTGTCATTGCACTCGGTGGTAGGCTGGAGGATGCTTTCAGAGGGGGTTGCTTGCTTGGGTTCAGGATCTGATCTTCAGCTGTCTTGTCCCATAAATGTGGTCATGTTACTATACCTAGAGGGGTTCTGGGACATCATTATCTATAGTTCTCGGTGATTGACACAGGCTGAACAAGCTTGTAAGAGTAGGGTTACTCATTTACATTGAGCAACCCATTTTATTTTTTATTTTTAATATGTTTTTACTGATTTTTTTTTTTTATAGAGAGAGGCAGGGAGAGGGAATAGAGTGAGAGAAACATCATCTCTTGGCTGCCTCCTGCACCACCCCCACTGGGGACTGACCCCACAACCCGGGAATCTTAAGGAATTGAACCTCTTAATTCCTGGGTTGACTCCCACCCACTGAGCTACACCAGTCGGGCGAGCAACCCATTTTAAAAGATTGAGTAGAACCATTGCCCAGACCAGAGGCCCAGCTCATCAGAAAGAATGGAAGTCTGTGGGGAAGACAAACTCGAATGTTCCCATGAGCAGGTGAAAACAGAGCAGGCGGAGAGGACTGAGTGAAGCCAGATGTATCATCTCCAGTTGAGCTTAGTGGCTTCCATTCTCATAGTGCAGTTTGCTTTCAGGCGCAGCCTGTTAAGGGGAGATAACCTTTTCTATCCACCGAGGATAAGTAGGTTAAGCTTGAGCATTCAGCTTGCCCGTTGATAGTTAGGTTGTTTAGGTCACATGTTACCACAATCATGCTTTTCTAAAAACCCCTTAATGGACTTGGGTTTATAAAATCCCTTAGCCACCCATTTTCCAGTCATCGTAGGGTAGGTCTGCTATAGGTTCTCCATTTTATTTTTTCAGTTGAATTTTCTCTAATTTCACTGTGGAAGGGTGACCTTAAATCCTGATGTTGCCTTCCCTATGCACCAATTAGCCCAAGGTATTGGCATAGTGAAAACAGGCCAGGAGATTGAGAGTCAGGGGTCTGGTCTGCTCAGCCCGATCCCGGGCTCACTCAGTGGTTGTGGGCAGGTCACGTTGCTTCTCTAGCCTTTGGTTCCTTCCTCAATTAGTTTCTGAAGTCTCCTTTTCCTTCTGGAATGCTAAGAGCCCTTGCTCTCAAAGGGGCTAGGGAGAGGCTGGCACGCCCGATGCTTTTGGTCATTCTGTCTGTAGTATAACCTCATTCTATTTGCCCATCTCATTTTTCAGATCAGGATCATCTGGATAAAGAAATAGAGAGACTCCGGAAAGAACTTAAAGTGAAGGTCAATCGCCTCTTTGAGGCCCAAGGTATTAGCCTGAGAGGTGGGGAAGGGGGGAAGAAACCAGGAGGGGACAAAACCATCAACATGGACTTAAAGGATTGGGAAGCCCCTCCCAGGAGGGCAATGACCTGGACAGCATGTGAGTGGCACTGAAGCTGGGGGCAGCGGGCAGTGGCTGTCTCTAGCCATCCCGAGAAAGAATGGACAAGGAAGTTTGTGGGGTCTTCTATCACAAATTCTTTCCAAGTTCGGGAATGGCCTGAGCTATCTTACATTTTATACCAGGGCATGGTGTGGGGACCAGCACAGCTCTGACTCAGAAGCTAAATTCCTAGGTAAACCTTACCACCCAGATCTGCCATAGGTATGGCAGAAATGTGGAGGTTTCTGGCCAGCAGAGTCGTAATTCTGCAGGTTCTTGAGACTCAGTAGTGGGTGTCAGTGTTCATTGTTCAGTATATGGTAGATTTGAGGCCCTTCCCTGTCAGACCTCACAGCCAGGTGTCTGGCAGTATGAATGCAGTGTGAGCTTTCCCAGGCCTGACTCCGGGGCCAGGAGGTTGGACAACAGGAGGCCTGAACGCACTGATGGATTGTCTTCTCTCCTTAGGCAAACGGGAGCTGAAGGGTTTTAACCTGACCCCCCTCAACCAGGATGAACTTAAAGCTCTCAAGGTCATCTTGAAAGGATGAAATTCAAGAACCAAGATAAGGGGCCTGAAACCAGCATTCCCCTGGGATCATGTAGGACCCAGAACTCTCCAGCTTTGAAACCTGCAAGGACAGGATCTACCCTGCAAGGGCACAGGCATCAGCATCCTGGCCATGGCTCCTGTTTGCAGCCTCTCTATCTGTAGCGCTTGACTGCTCTGTGAAAGCGAAGGGAACCCTCAGCCTGCCAGTGCCTGTGGGCCTGACCAGTGGGCTGAATGGACACAAGACCCATTGATAGGCCTAGCAGCCACAGTGGGTGGGCGGGGGCAGCGCCTGTGGGGGTATGAGAATGACTGCAACAGACACTTCTCAACAGTGGCCTGCTGTTTAAATGGGCCCTGGGCAGGGAAGAAGGGGAAGAGTGGGAGCTTCATTCCAGCATTCCTCTCAGAAAGGGAGACATTTAAAGCAGCATGTGTAACAGAATTGGAATACAGCAGGAAGCTCGCAGGTGGTTTCTGAATGAAGGACAGGGTCTTGGTGCTTCGTGGTTCACCACAACTATCTGTGGAGCAGACATACCATTTCTCCCCACTCGCTCCATTTCGGCCCATTTTTCCTGCTTGCTCCCAGATGGAGCCCAGCATAGGTGCTGCTTATCACCCCCCACAGCCGCTCTTTCGTCAGGAAGGCCTCGCAGAGTCCTGCACCAGAGATGGGTGAGGGGGACTGCCTCTTCACGTGCTTCATGCGTTCAGGATGCGCCTCCGAAAGCAGGGCCAGGGCCAGCGCTGCTCTCCGAGTGCCCTTATCGTCAGTGGTCTCGGGTCTTAATGGCAATGTGCTGTGAGGGCAACACGGTATCTTCCTGTTCACTGAGGCTTCAGTAAAGGCACCTAATGAATGGATAGCTGCTGCTGTTCTTTACCTCATTTGGTCCTTAATTGAAGGCATACCACCCCCTTAGGATACACCCATGAAGGGCAGTGGTTCCTCCTTGAATGATAGGCTCCGACAGGCACACTGCCGTGCCCCCTGCTCCACTCAGCTGCTGCCGATAGTTTCATTGGAACATAGGCTGCTATGTCCAGATCTTATGTTTTCTTCAAGAGGAACTAGCAATTTGGATTTTTAAGTTGAATTTTCTGTCCTTTAAATATTGCTGACTAATTCAGAAAAATGTTTAAAATTTGGTGTTGGCCAAACAAAATAAGTCAAATTTGGCTCAGAAGTGCGATGTTGCATCCTTCTGAGTTTTTTTTAGTAGAAATTTGTGTGTGTTTTCCATACTGGCTCAAAGAGTAGGGGGATGGAGTTGGAAACTAAATGGAAATAAACTAAATGTCCACAGTAGATTAAAGGAATTGATGGCTCCAGGTAGTGGGATACTACACAGCTGTTACCAAGAATAAGGAAGTTTTGAGCACTGATTTGGAACAAGCTCCAAGGTTAAGTGAGAAAAGCGAGGGGGCAGGACAGGCGTCTGGTGAGCTGGTGATTTGTATGCAATCACCAATTATTTGGTTCCCTCAAAACAAACTGCATATTTGAGGTGGAAGGGAAGAACGTGTTGCTGTTATATTGCATATTTTTAAATATAAATTTAAAAAGTAGGGAGTAGCAGCATTCACTTTGCTAGACACTATCTGGTAGGACTGCCTTGCTCACAATTTCCTCTAAACATTGCCCCTACCTGTCTGGCAAAGTAGATGCTAGGACAAAAAAAGAGCCAATTGGATCCTACTGGAAAGGTAGAACCCATGCCTGGGGCTGTCTGGGCTCTCCTCAGTCACAGGGATGAAGGTGGAGGCCCAGAGTGGCTGGTTTCTGGCCTTCCCAAAGCTAACTGGTTCATTTCTTGGACTTGACAGTATTCACTTCCAAAAGCCCTTCCCATCCCTGGGCAGTCACATTCTGTTATTTGTAGCTAAAAGAACTGTCCTGAAGCAGGAAGAGTGGTAGAGGGAGCTGCCGGGGATCCCCTAATAGGTCCCCCATGCAGCTGTTAGCTCACCAGCCCACTTGTAATTCCTATGAAACTAAGAGGAGGCGTAGGAATGTGGGAATGCTATCTCCTTGCCTGCCGGCACAAGGCTTTCTAGTTTAAAAAGCTCAGCTCCCAACCTCAAGTAGGAAGGCCCAGAGAGGCACCTGTCGCCCAGATGACTCAGCTAAGTGCCCCTTTGCAGAGACCCTGACTAAGCAGCTCTGCCTTCCTGACCCATGTCCATCTGAGCAATGGGGACGCTTTGGCCTGCTGGCTTTCACAGAGTCAGGGGAGTGCCATGGGTTCCCCTGACATGAAAGGTCAGGGAATTGTAAGGAGGAGGAGATGTGCGGGGTCCAGTCCTCCAGACTCCCAATAAACACAATCTGTAATTGCTTGCTTTGCGAACATAGCTTAAGACAAGTTCCCTAGCCCATGAATCCTTTGCTCTTGGAGGACTCTGACAACCCTAACCTCCTGGGAGACATCAAAGAGTGAAGCCAGGAGGACACCGCTGCAGCCCACGGCATTCCCTGAGCCAAGCCTGGTGCCCAGTAACTTCGAGTAAGGCCTGTGCTCATTTATTAGATGTGACCTCTCTGGAGAGCCGAATTTGCTGAGTTTTTACTCTTTGGGCCTATTGGCTAAGCCAATCTGTCAAGGTTAAAACCCATCCAGTCCAGAGGATTGGCTGTCTCCTGGTGCAAAGATGCCCAGGGGTCGATGGGGGAATCCAGGAGACCCGGCCCAAGCAGCAAGCAGCAGCTGTGGCCATCCAGAGGGAGGGAGGCATGTGCTCTGAGGTGCTGCTGTGCTGGCAATGGAGTGGGGAGAGGACTGGATGGCATGGCACCTCCCGGGGACGCTTGCCTCTCAGCGGCTGGGTATCAGCCGGAAGCTTTCTTCTGGCCTTGAAGGGAGCGGAACAGCTGCCTCAGCTGTTTTTTTCGATCATTGATGCAACCTGGAAGGGAAGTGGAGTGTTGGCTGGGAGGTCCTGTCCGTAGGAAAAGGGGTTGGGGAGTGGAGCGGCCTGTGCTTCTGCCACCTGTTGGGAGGAGGAGACAGCAGCCATGCAGCTATGGATGGCTTATGGTTCGCATCCTCAACTGCTGTGGCCCTCAAGCAGGTAATTTTCCTCTTCATGCGTCAGTTTTCTCACCTGGAAACCAAATACTTGCTTTATGGGATGAGTGTAAGGATCATCAAAGGAAGGTAACATTCACTGGGGACTTACCTCAGGGGCTGCTTCAGGTGCTGAATGTGAATTAACTTGTTGAGATCTCACCAGAATGATGTGTAGAAGAAAAAAACTGAGGTTCAGACATGCCAAGTTATTTGCTCCAAATCACACAATAAATAGCAGGTCTGGGTTTTGAACCCAGGCTAGAGGTCAAGTTCTTAACCACTAACTCACATTGCTTTCCTTCTGGTTTCACTCAGCGAAAATGCATTAAAGCTAGCACAGAGCCTAGCACCTAATAGGTTAAATGCTAGCTTTCTTTCCTTACCCAACCCCATGTGTCACACACAGTTGGCTAAGGGACAAGTATTTCCACAGAGTAGCCCCTACTCTCATGTGTGTCCCAGGTAGTCCGTGCTGAGAGGCCACCATGAACATTGGCGACACCGCCTCTCCTGGCACATTCACGGTGTTACCACTTCCTGTTTGCTCTCAGAGCTGGTCCTTGAAGCAATTCCATGGTCACTGAATCTTGTGCCAGGCATATTGATGGCACTCACAAATACTGGTTGAATGATGAGTCCACATGGCCACAACTACTGACCTGGAGGAGACACCCATCTTTCTTAGCACCCCAAAACGCCATTCCTAACACCTAGGTGCTCACTGGTCGTCAAGGCTTCAAAGCTAAGAGCCCACTATATACACCCCCAGGGCTCCATGGAACCTCAGCTTTAACTGCAAGGGCTCATTCATAACTCCCAAATATTTGTGTCCAATGCAAATCTCTTCTTGGAGTTCTAGACTCATCTCTGAGTCATCTGCTCATGTTTTCACCAGGAGATCCCTCAACATATCCATAATGCACTTCACCAATCCTCTTCCCGCTCCCGGCCAGCTCCTCTGGTATTCACCACCACATGCCCTCCCTCCACTGGATACTTGGGAATTACAGAGCTTTCTCAAGCAGTGGCTCTCAATCTAGGCTGTGCTTTAGGGTCATCAGGGAGATTAAAAAAATACTCATGTCCAGACCAGCTGTATCTTTATCAGGCATTGGTCTTTTTTAAAGCTCCCTTGTGATTCCACAGTGCCTAGTACCTAATAGGTTAAATGCTAGCTTTCTTCCTTTACCCAACCCCTGTGATGCATCCAAAGTGGAGAAGCCAAGGTGTCCTGAATCTTTGCTACTCGAACAGGGTCCAGAAAACAGCAGCACCGATATCTGAGACGGACTGTTAGCAAGGAGAGCTGCAACAGCCCCTCCCTTTCCTACATGCACCTCTCTCTGCAGGTGACTGCTGCTCTTCCCACCAAGAGGTGGAGTCTATTTCCTTGCCCCGTGAATCTGGGCTGGACTAGCTTTAACTAATGGATTGTGGAGGAATGATACTTTCGGACTTCTAAGCCCAAGCCTGGGTGTCAAGAGGTTTCACTGCATCTTCCTCGCCTTCTTGGAACCCTAGGACTACCATGTGAAGAAGCCAGGCAGCACTGCTGGAAGACAAATGACCACCTGGACCAGTGATGGCGAAGCTTTTGAGCTCGGCGTGTCAGCATTTTGAAAACCCTAACTTAACTCTGGTGCCGTGTCACATATAGAAATTTTTTGATATTTGCAACCATAGTAAAACAAAGATTGATATTTTTGATATTTATTTTATATATTTAAATGCCATTTAACAAGGGAAAATCAACCAAAAAAATGAGTTCGCGTGTCACCTCTGACACGCGTGTCATAGGTTCGCCATCACTGACCTAGACACCACACATGTCAATGAAGCCATCCTAGGCTATCAAATCTCAGTGCCTCGCCAGGTGCCTGGAGCCCGATGAGTGACTCTAGGTGACACCTGAAGAATGAATAGCAAATCAGATAGCTGTTTTAAGCTGCCAGGTTTGGGGGAGGTTTGTTACACAGTAACAGTTAACTAAGAGAGAGCATCACCTGGGAACTTGTCAGAAATGCAGAATTTTAGGCCTCACTTCAGACCTACTGCATCATAATCTTCATTTAAACAGGATTTCCAGGTGGTTGTATCCACAGCTTGAAAGCATTATGTAGTCATCCTCCAAACACGCAATTTGGCAGACACTAGGGATCTGCTGTGGAAAAGCCATTCACAAACTTCCCCTCCTTTGCCTTCCTCAAGGCAAACTACTTGACATCCCAAGCTTCCTTGCATCATGGGTGGCCATGTGAGCCAGCTCTGATCGATGTCAGCAGAGGCCCCTGGGAGGGCATCCCTTTTGGGATAAACAATCAAAGCCTGAAGGAAAGGCTTTGGTCCTTGGGCCTCCCTGTTTCTTTGTGCCTGGGACAAGGACATAGCGTCTGGAATTGGAGCAGCCGTCTTGCAACCTGAGCAACCTGAGGCAGCAAGCATGAGCACCAAGGCAACCTATTAAGTGTGGCACAGCAAAAAGAGGCAAGAGCATCATGCTGCCATGTGCCAGCCCTGTACAGCTAACCCCAAGACTTCCTGTGGCTCACACAAATCAGTCCCTCTCTGGCTATTAGTGGCGTTTTTGTTGCTTACAGCCAAGCCCAATCCTAAATCATACCAAAACTTTTTCATAAAAAATAAAAAGATGCCACAGAGAGCATTTAAAAAGCAAATTACAACTCAGGAAAATGTTTACAATAAGCTTGACAGAGAGGTGTAATTTAACATATTAATATCCAAGGCCTTTATACGTTAAAAAAAAATGTAAACAGCCCATTGAAAAATAGATTGAGTGTGGACAGCTAACAAAAGAAGAAATGCAAACTAAAAATCTGAAAGCTCACCAGTAATCAGTAGAATGCACACGCTGGTAAAGTTTTTTTGTTTGTTTGAATTCAGAGCTCTTTCCGGAAAGCAATCTGGCTGTAATAAGTCTATCCCTTTGACCCAGTAATTGTATTTCTAGAAATCTGTCCCAAAGAAACAGCCAGATTTTTCAGTTGAGCTTTATGTGAAAGGATTTCATCATGCCATTGTTTATAAAAGTGAAAAATTGAAATCATGCCATGTGCTCAATTACAAGAAATTGGTTTAGCAAATTTGGCATCTATGTAAGCAAGAATGTTTTGTAGCCAGATGGGAACTTCGTTTTTAACTGTGCTAAGGGACAGGAGAGCCTAGCCGTCAAGCATTCAGGTTTTGGAGTCAGACAGACTGGAGTTCAGGTCCTGGCTCACCGCTTATAACCGAGACCTTAAGCAAGTCGTGTGACATCTGGAAATCGTTTCCTTATCTGTAAAATGATAATAAAAGCTGCCTTAAAATGAAATGAGATAACATATGTAAAATATTTAGTCTAGACCTGGCAAATAAGTGTTTCCAAAAGATAGGCTCTTATTAACATTGTTGAATGATGTGGAAAATGCTACATGGAAAAGTGGGACTCAGAACTCCAGTCCTATGCCAAATCTGTAAAAGGAAAAAATATGAATATATGCATTTTTTAAAAACTGGAAGGAAGCACACCCGATAGTTAAAGATGGTTATGTCTGGATGATTTTTTATTTCCTTCTTTAGTTTTCAAATATTCTACAATAACTGTGAATAATTTTCATTTTTTATGTTTTTTTAATGTATTTATTTTATTTCAGAGAGAGGAAGGGAGGAGAGAGAAATAGAAACATCGATTGACTGCCTCCTGCATACCCTCTACTTGGATTGACTGTCTCCTGCACGCCCCTTACTGGGGACTGAGCTTGCAGACCTGGCATGTGCCCTGACTGGGAATAGAACCAGGGCCTCCTGGTGCATGGGACGAAGCTCAACCAACTGAGCCACACCGGACAGGCAAAAATTCTCATTTTTTAAACACCAAGTTTTAAAGTCAAGCCCTGAAGTCCTTAATTTCTCTTTATCATGGGAGGGGGGTTGTTTGTCATTGTTGTCTGTTTGCTTTCCTAAACCTTTTGAAATCTACCTCCTGGCAGATTACTAACATCTCTCACTATGTGCCAGGCAGTGTTCTAGGCATATATTGAGATAGAAACTATTTACTCTCCATTTCACAGATGAGGAACAAAGAGGTTAAGCCTTGGTCCAGGCCATACAGCTGTGCCAAGCTGCCGGTCTGAGACTACCTGGAACCTCCCATGACACTTCCCTGGTGCCCACTTCCCACATGGCCCCACATACCAAGGTGTGTGTTGGTCACAAAGTTCCCCATTTCTGACAAGTCGGGAACCCCCTCTTCTCTGCTGACAGGGCCATCATTCCACATGAGGTCAAAGCCTCCCACTCGCTTCTCCCTTCCTGTGAGCCTGGACAGGCAGGAGACACAAAGGGTTAAAGAAGGTGCACCTGGTAGGACCCAAAGACCCTGGCCAGGTCCCTGATTCATCCCTGCAGCCTGGGTCCCCACACTGTCAGAATCCCTTCCTTTGCCCACCATTCACTGGCTGTTTCCTAGGTGCCCACACAGGTCTCAGAGGGGCTGTCCCCCACTTTTGTCCTTGGCTTAAACACTTGCCCTCAGTACTTCCGCATTCTGGTTTAAACTCTGCTGTCTCCCCCAGACCACAAATTCCATGAAGGTAGGAGCTGGGTCTGTTCTATCCTTTACTGTGTCCTCAATGTGTGGCACAGGGCCTGACACACGTGAGGCTCAAATGTTTGTTGAATGACTAAATGATGGCAGATATAGTGGACACCTGAGGTTGCCCCTGCTTAGCATCCATTTTACCTTCTTTCAGCCTAAGAGTGCCTCGGGTTTTCCTTAGAGAACCATCCTCCCTCTCTCACTTACATGGCTCAGGTGAGGTTGACCCCATCCCCTGGGAGGTGGGCACAAGACCTAGGCCTGGTTAATCAGAGTCATATTGATTGGTTCAGAGAGGGCATGTGACCCAAATCTCACTCATGAGCAATAAGAGTCAGCCCTCAAACTCTTGCTGAAATAATTGAGAAAAAACTAATAAAGAAGAAAGAGCTGAGAGGGAATGAGGGAGAGGGAGAGGGAGGGAGGGAGGGAGGGAGGGAGGGAGGAATGGAAGGATAAAGAGATAGAGGGAGGGAGGAACGAAAAGAGGAATATAGTGAGGGAGGAATGGAGGGAAAGGTAGAGGGAGGGAGGGAGAAGACAGACCAACCAACACTGACTGAAGTCAGGCCCTGAATTTTCCTTATGTACACACTAGAGGCCCGGTGCATGAAATTCGTGCACTGGGGGGGAGTGGGCGGGGGGAGGTGTCCCTCAGCCCAGCCTGCACCCTCTCCAATCTGGAAGCCCTCAGGGGATGTCCGACTGTCCCACAGGGATCGGGCCTAAACCAGCAGTCGGACATCTCTCTCACAATCTGGGACTGCTGGCTCCTAACTGCTCACCTGCCTGCCAGCCTGATCACCCCCTAACCACTCCCCTGCCACCCTGATTGATGCCTAACTGCTCCCCTGCTGGCCAAATTGCCCCAAAATACCCTCCCTTGCCGGCCCAATTGCCCCCAACTGCCCTCCCCTGCTGGCCTGGTCACTCCCAACTGCCCTCCTCTGCTGGCCTGGTCACCCCCAACTGCCCTCCCCTGCCAGCCCGGTCACCCCTAACTGACCTCCCCTGCAGGCCTGGTCCCCCCCCAGCTGTCCTCCCCTGCAGGCCTTGTCCCCCCCAACTGCCCTCCCCTGCTGGCCTGGTCACCCATAGCTGCCCTCCCATGCAGTCCAGGTCAACCCCAACTGCCCTCCCCTGCCAGCCCGGTCACCCTTAACTGCCCTCCCCTGCTGGCCTGATAGCCCACAACTGCCCTTCCCTGCCAGCCATCTTGTGGCTGTGGTGCTGACATCTTTGAGGGCATGGCAGTTAATTAGCATATTCCCTCCTTATTGGCCGTGGGTGCTGCCATCTTTGCGACAGCATGAGGGTCAATTAGCATATTCCCTCTTTATTAGATAGGATTGTTGTAACAATATATAGTCTCTTACTGAGCACTTACTGTAGCTAGACACTTGGCAATAAGTTATCTTGGTAAATTGATCTAAAAATCCTGAGATGTAGACACATGAGGAAACAAGCTCAGAGAGGTGAAGTGACTGGTCCAGGGTTCCACAGTCAGGAAATGTCGTGGAAATCCTGCCGGACCAAATCTCAGAAAGCTGTGGTTGGCCCTGCTCTGACCCAAAAGGGTTGGATCCTTGGACCAGGCTCCAACCCTGTGTGGACATCTCAGTCTCCATCTATAAAATAGCGGGGCAGGCTAGAGTATCTCTGAGGGCCATTCAAGTCCAAGGTTCTGAGTTCTATCTCTTCTTGGGTGGGAGCCCCGATTGTCATGTGCGGGGTGCCTGAAAGGCTGCCCTCCCCCACCTGGCTTCCATGTCCACGATGTGCAGGGTGTCTTCCAGGAGGCAGGTCTTGAGCTCATAGTCCTCCTGGCTGCTGGCTGTCAGCGATGGGGACGCATTGACCTCCAGGAGCCATCTGGGGAGGGAAAAGAGGGGAGAGTCTTAGGGTTACCTGGTCCCTGGAGCTCCTGGAACTTCACTGAGAGGCTAGATGGAGTGCCTGGGCCTCACCCTCAGTTCACCCAGAGTCACTCTCTCCACTTGTCTAAAACTTTTTGAAAACAATTGATACCCCACAGGGGCCAGGCTTGGTGAACTGGAAAGAGCATTCCACATCTACAGGGCTGGCTGTGACCAGCTCCAGGGGAGTGTTGCCCTGTAGGAGCATGAGCCCAGGATTACATGATTGTTTTATGTTTTCCAGAAAAGACAAAAATCCAGACTTTTGTGTGACCATCTCCCAGTGTTTAGAGATTGTCACTGAATTTCAATGAAAAAGAAACAAACAAACAAAAATATTCTGAAGGCCAAACTCCAGGTGGCTGCAGGCCAAAAGCAACCCAATGGCCTCCAGTTTGCAACCTCTTGTTTTGTGCAACCCGGTCATTTACAGCCAGGAACCTGGGCACAGAAAGGGAAGGGCTCACCCCGCAGGTCAGTGGGAGCCTCAGGCCCCACGTTCTACTATCTGCTGCCTCCCCCAAGTTTGTTTCCCCTGTCAGCATCCACTCCGATGCCCCAGCCACATCTTACCCCAGGGGCAAAGGAGAGAGACCCACTGGTACCGGACCCTGTTTCTCTGAACAGGGGCTCGATTTAGGTCTTGACTCCTACTCCTGGCTCAGAAAGCCCCCCAACCCCATACAGTGACCCTCAGGAGGTGCTGGGCCCAGGAGCTGCACTACTGGCGGGGAGCAGCTCAGCCCAGGAACTACGACCTTGGGCCTGGCTCTGCCCTTGACTTACTGGGTGACCTCAAGCTGCCAGAACCACCCCAATGGTATCACATGAGGGCCGTTGCTAGGGTCCCTGCCACCTCAGTTTGTTCGACTCATCAGCTCAACCTCATGGACACTGAGGGAATGCACCAAATTCTTGACAGGGATCGACATGGTGACAATACTCCCTTATAAGGCACTTTGCATCTGGAAAGCACCAGGGCTTACAGAGGGTAATTTTCTTGCTGGTACCAGATGAGGATCCCTGACTCAGCATATATTCAGGAAAGGCCTCTGAGTGCCAGGCATGAGGCTCAGTGCTCTCTACTTCATTTATTCCTCATAACAATGCTATAGGCACAGCAACCATTTTACAGATGGGCAAACTGAGGCAACAGAAAGTGTGCCTAACGAGGAAGTGGCAGAGCTGAGGTCAAACCCAGTAGTCTGGGTGGAAAAATGTGCCCCCTGGCTCTCCAGGGCCACTGGCCCATCCACTTACGGCTTGAGGTCCTGGTCTATGAGAATGTCATAGCCGTACAGCTCAAAGCAGTGCTTGTCACTGATGATCACCTTCTGCACACTCTGCAGGCTCTTGATGAAGATGTTGTCCATGTCACTGAAGAGCGATTCCACTGCTTCTGGCCCGTGCTTGGACGCCAGGTACTGTCGGAAGCGCTGGAGCATCCATTTGCAGCCCTGGGGCCCGTGCACCCGGGTTGGGAGAGGGAGCCTTAGTTAACCGGGACCTTGGCAGCCGGGACCTTCCAACAATCGCCATCAACATGGCCCTCAGGCTTGGAGAAGAGGAACCCATCCCTGAGTCCTGTGACCAGGAGAACCCCAAGTGTGTCCTTCCTTTTGGGACAGACTCTGCAAGCCCAAGGGGATGTGTCCAGCCGGAGTGTATGTGCCTCTCTTCCTAGAGCATAGCCTAGACTCACAACCCCAGAAGTCCTGGCCCAAATGCCCTGTGCAGGCCTCTCCCTGGGCTGCTTCCCTGAAGACAGATCGCACTGACCATGTGTGCATCCCGAGGCCCACGGAATGATCAGCTGCTGTTTGTAGTAGGGTCGGGGGGTATGCAGGAGGCCCCCACTGTGCGGGTATGAGCTGGGGGCCAGCTCTCCCTGTGCACTCCTGTTCTGGCTCTTAACTCTTAGAAGTCATAGAGTTCTAAGTTTGAACCTGGCCGTGTAGGTTATTAGGTAGAAAGTCGACAAATAGATAGATGATGATGGATAAATAGAAGCATATCTGTCCAGTCAGGAGGACAGAACACACTTTGTTAGAGGGTATGTTAGTTTGGCTTATAACTTCTAAGTATCTAGACACTATGCATTGGCCTCCATTTGTACTCTTGCCCTGGGCCCTGCAAATGGGAAGGGCGGGCCCGGCTGCACTGTGAACTGTGAGCCCAAGACAAGCCTGTGCTGGGCTCTCTGCACTCTGACCCACCACCCCAGCCGCCCCAGAGGCTGTGCCCGAGGGCAGGAGCCCAGCTTGCTCACCTTCTTTGGGTGGTAGTCAGGGGACGTCTTTTGCACGGCGACATTGGTGAGGTGCACATCTGGCAGAGGTTGGTAGTCAAGGATCAGTGTGGACAAGAAGAGTGAGTCCTGCTCCATGTAGCCCCCAGGGGCCAAACTAAGACCCTTCCTTGGGAACTGATGGGGAAGGCCACAAAAACAGCCCAGAGGTCACGTGTGGGCTTTAGAGTCCGGTGGGCCTGGGTTCAAATCCTGCCTGCATTGTTACTGGCTCCGAGCCCCTGAGCAAGTCATTTAGCTCCTCCGAGTCTATTTTCCTACATATTTAATGGGAGTACCTAATAGTAGATTGGCCTCACAGAAGTATTTGAAAGATTAGATAACAGTCTATATAGAAGCACCTCTTATAGTGCCTGGTACAGCAGTTATTATGATTTTTCAACTCAAGAGGAGAACATTTCCTAACATACAGAGAGACTAAATATAGAACAGCCGTCTCGGGCAATTCTGAGCTCTCTGTCACCAAAGGGGTTCGGGCTGGGTGGCCACTTTGCAGGAATATTGAAAAAGTGACCCAGCTTTGGGGTGGGGTCAAGATGGCCTCAAAGGTCCAAGCTCTGAGAGTCTGCCTTTTGCTATCATCACCATGGTGACCACCAGTAACATCGACAACACTTGGCAGCTTACAGAGCATTCCACGCAAATCATCTCATTTGTTCTTCAAATTATTCCCATCTCAAAGAAGAGAACTTGAAGGGCAGAGAGGTTAAGTAAGGGACAGCCGTTCAGAACACCCTCCACCAACACCCTCCCGCCCCGACTGCATTTCACCTCATGAAATGACCATAAGGTGTAACTTTCTCCAGGACTTACTGGGAGGTAGAGGCTCTAGGGAACTAAGCCAAGTGTAATTCCCCTAAAACATGTGTTGCTCCCCGTTTGCTGCACGAAGTGCAGAGGAAGACAGGCATCCTCGTTAGCTCTAGAATGTCTTCTTTAGAGATTTCCAAAAACTTTTTTTTCACATTTGTCTGAGAGTTCTTCTATCTTAATTGCAAAAGAATAAGCACATAGCAAACCACTAAATAATAAAAAGAGCTCTTAGGTTTATGGTCATCTGACTTTTGAGAAGTGTGCCAAGGCAGTTCAATGGGGGCAAGCACTAAATGGGCCAGGACACCTGAATATGCACATGCAAGAGAATAAGGTTGGACCCCTTCCTCATACTATAGACAAAAATTAACTCCAACTGTATCTTGGACTTAATATAAGAGCTAAAACTTTAACTCTCTTAGAATAAAATATAGAAATAAGCAATGACCTTGGGTTAGTCAGGGCTCCTTAGATGTGACACCAAAAGCATGAGTGACAAAAGAAAGAGTAAATAAGTTGAACTTCATCAGTATTAAACCCTTTTGTGCTTTAGCTATGGCTGGTTGCTCAGTGGTTAGAGCACCAATCTGCAGACCAAAGGGTTGAGGATTTGATTCCTGGTCAAGGGCATGTACCTCTGTTGCAGGTTTGATCCCCAGCCCTCAGTCAGGACACATGTGGGAAGCAACCAGCCTATATGTCTCTCTCACTTTGATGTTCCCCTCTTTCTCTCTCTCTCTCCCCTTCCTCCCTCCCTTCCACTTTCTCTCTAAAGATCAATGCAAAAAATATTCTCGAGTGAGAATTAAAACACACACACACACACACACACACACACAAACACACCCCAAAACAAAAAAATTTTGTGCTTCAAAGAACATTATCCAGCAAGTGAAAAGGTGGAGCACAGGATTTTTAGGGCAGTGAAAATACTCTGTATGATACAGCAACGATGAATACGCGTCATTGTGCATCTGTCCAAACCCATAGAAGGTGCAGCCTTAATGTAAATGATGGACTTTGGGTGATGATGTGTCAATGTGGGTTTATCCATTGTAACTAATTAATGGGGAATGTTGATAACAGGGGAGGCTATGTGTGTGTATGGAGGCAGAGTATGTGGGAAATCTCTACCGGCGGTTCTCAACCTTCCTAATGCCGCGACCCTTTAATACAGTTCCTCATGTTGTGGTGACCCCCAACCATAAAATTATTTTCGTTGCTACTTCATAACTGTAATGTTGTTACTGTTATGAATCGTAATGTAAATATCTGATATGCAGGATGTATTTTCATTGTTCGCGACCCACAGGTTGAGAACCACTGCTTCCTCTCAGTTTTGCTATGAACCTAAAAATGCTAATTAAAAAAAAGTCCTTAAAAATAAAGGACAACCCACAAATTGAAAAGGATATTTGTAAGTCATGTATCTAAGAAGTAGTATTAAAAAATAGGTAAAGAACTCTTACAGCTCAACAATTAAAGAGACAAATAATCCAATTTAAAAGAGGTCTAAGACTTCGAGTAGACATTTTCCCAAAGATTTACAAATGACCAACAAGCACATGAAAAGATGTTTAGCTTGTCCAGTGTGGCTCAGTGGTTGAGATCGACTATGAACCAGGAGGTCATCAAACCAGGTTCAATTCCTGGTCAGGGCACATGCCCGGGTTGCAGGCTTGATCCCCAGTGAGTGAGGCATGCAGGAGGCAGCCAATCAGTGATTCTCTCTGATCATTGATGTTTATATCTCTCTCTCTCCCTCTCCCTTCCCCTCTGAAATCAATAAAAAAATCGAACCCTGACCTCCTGATTCATAGGTCGATGCTCAACCACTGAGCCACGCCAGCCAGGCTTTTTCTACTTTTTACTATTTCAGTGTTGAGGTGAATATTTTTGTATTTTGTGTGCATATATGTATATATATATTGACTAGTTTATGTATAAACAATATATATCAAACTATATTTGTATGCACAATTATAAAAGTCAGGGTAAAAATATATCAATGTTTTGTGATTCAAAGTTGGTTTATTATTTTAAAAGTTGGTGTGTAATATCTGAAGCAAATGTGGCAAAATATTAATATCTGTTCGGTCTGATGGTAGATGCATGGATTTCTGTTATAGTCTTTTCTACAGTTTTAAAATATTTTTAAAATCTTTCAATATTAAAAGTTAAAAACAATTAGAAGGGATGGAAAATGGCATACAGTCACTCGCTGGGAAAACAGCAAAGCTGCATTCAGTAGAAACTAGTGCCGGGCGTTGCTTTGTTTGATAAGGGCCCACGATGCCTGGAGATCTGCAAACACTCTGAAAGGGGAGAGCGTACCCCTCCTTGTCCTCAGTAGCCACTCTGGGCCTGGCACCGTTCCAAGCACACTTCCTGCATCATTTAATTTTAATTAAAAACAAAACAAAATGAAAATAACATGGAAAATGAAAATGAAACTAAAATAAATTTGATGGCTTGCATCTGATAAATGCTTGTTAGATTTACAAAAAAAAAAAAACCAAGGACACACATACACACACAGGAAATGTTGAAGTTGGTAAAATAGAAAAAAAATTATAAAAAATTCTCAGGAGGGCCTACTCCCACCCTAACATGCAGGCAAGGCAAACGCATTACCTTGGACAGACTCTTAATTGAATGACGAAATGAAGGCCGAGAGCTGTGAATTGGCTAAAAGCATTAGCTGCATCACCCAAATCAGAAGCTCAGCAGCCTCACCTTCCATTCCCATCTCTCCCATATGCAGGCAATCCAATCCTGCTGATTTATCTCTGAAAGTTCCTGTACTGTTTACCCCTTTTTATCTGATGCTCAGGTCTAAAAATCTTAAAAACATTTAAAAAATATTTTTATTGATTTCCCAGAGGAAGGGAGAGAACATCAATGACGAGAGAGAATCACTGACGGGCTGCCTCCTGTCCCCCATGGGGATCGAGCCCGAAAACTGGACATGTGCCCTCACAGGGGATTGAGCATGACCTGCTGGCTCATAGGTTGATGCCCAACCACTGAGCCACACCGGCCGGGCTTAAAAACATTTTGTTGTTGTTGATATTTTAACCAGATAATAGATTCACATGATTCAAAAGTCAAAAGGTATGAGGATGTATATAAGGAAATAGCTCCTGCACGCCCACCCATTTCTCCTCCCGAAGGCAACTTCTGGTTCCAGATTTTTGTGCATCCTTTCAGAGACGTCTATGCACAGATAAAAGCATAGCAATATTTTTAACACGATGGGAGTGTACTTTTCTCAGAGATCTATACTAGTTCCCCCCAATTAATGATACAGCTTGGAGATTATTTCATATCAGTACATAAAGCATTTCCCCCATTCCTTTTTAACAGCTACCTACTATTCCATTGTGTAAATGAACCATTGCTCTAGTTGTTTCCTATTCTTTCACTCTCACAAACAAGGTTGTACAGTGACTGACCTTTAAACCTCCATTTTCCTACATTGTGAGTGTACCTGTGGGAGAAAGAGCCAGAAGGAGAATTGCTGGGTCAGAAGGTATGTGCATTTGTCTTTCAGTAGACATTTTCCCGATTGCCTCCTCATAGGGCACCAATGTACACTCCCACCAATAGCATATGTATCTTCCCAACCTTGCCAACACAGAGTCCCATCAAGTCTTTGGTCCCTACCAATGAGGTGGGTGAAAATGGCATTGTGTTTGAGTGAATGAGTGAGCCAGTGACTAGGCACTGAAGAAAAGGACGTGAAAGGATGTAAACGCTCTCCAAAGGGGCTCAAACTGTCCCATCCTATGAATGCTAATAGATGTGAATATGAGATCCGATGAATACCAATCCAGGTGAATGGCAGGCACACCACCAACAGGACCATCAAGCAGACTGTGTGGGATGAGTTGAACGGAGCAGACCACTGGGGGACCTCCCGCCCCCACAAGACTGGAAGCTCTCCTGTGCCCAGACCAGAGCGTGGCATTCAGCAGGCGCTCAGCACACATCTGTGGAATGGACGAGCTCTCTCCGGACCCCAAAGGACAGGAAGGGAAGGCCGCATGGGGGGTGGGGAGGCAGGTCCCAGGATACACTGGTCGTCAATGCTGCTGAGTGTGAAGCGGGTGTTGGAGAAGCGGGCGAAGCCATCCCGGTACAGCCAGGCCCGCAGCGGGATGTACTGTGACAGGTGGGGCCGGAGGAAGACAAAAGGGCGGAGAATAAATACGTGTACTTTCACACTTACTAGCTTTTGTACCTGCTGTTCCCTCCACCTGGCGGGTCCTTCCTTCTTTCCCACATCACCCTTCCAGAATCTGCTCAAATATCAGCTTCCTCTGATTCTACCCCCCTCTTTCTCTGGGGTGGGGCAGGGGCAAGATGCAGAAGAAAACAAAATTAATGGGCTTCTTCTCTGCTCACCCCCAAGTGTGACACCCCCAACTCAGGGTGTGTCCATAGCTCCCATTGGATAGTGGGTGAGCTTATCTCCTCATACCCAACATAGAGTAGTGCACCATGAAGGTTTAAACATTTGTTGAATGGATGAATGAATGAATGAATGGCCTGGCCGGTGTGGCTCAGTGGCTGAGCATGAACCAGGAGGTCATGGTTCAATTCTAGGTCAGAGCACATCCTGGGGTTTCAGGCTCGATCCCCAGTAGGGGGCGTGCAGGAGGCAGCTGATCGATGATTTTCTCTCATCACTGATGTTTCTATTTCTCTCTCCCTCTCCCTGCCTCTCTCTGAAATCAATAAAAACAACATTTAAAAAAAAATAAATTAATGGGTGCAGGGAGCATAGCAACTCCTTGATTAAGAGCCTAGGTTCTGGAACTAGGCTGCCTGGATTCTAATCCCAGCTCTCACTTACCAGCTGTCTGACCCTGAGCAAGTCACTCAGCCCTGTTATCTGTTTCCTCATCCGTAAATGAGTAATAGAGCCTACCTCCCCGGCTAGCAGAGGACTGAAGAAGATAAAACATGCTAAATATCAGGGCCTGGGGCTTGGTAGGCTCTCAATAAATGTTAGTTGTGGTTACCATGAATGACAGAATGAATAAAAAAGGACACGCGGGGGGGCAATTCCAGATGCTGGGGCGTCTCAGATGGTACAACTTAGATCCATTTACCAGCCCCACCACCCTCAGAGGTCCCCCTGCACTCTTCCAGGCAGACAGTCAGACAAGCTCACACAGGCGCCCCCAGAATGGCTTTGGCCCCCTGTCTCTGAGTCCGGCTGCCCCTTACCCACCACTGGAGGAGGGCACTTGTCTTAGTTACTCACCGACATCACCAGCACGTAGACACGCAGGTCAAACTTGCGGCCTGTGAGGCAAGGAAATAATTCATGTAGCAAACACTGATTGCCAGGCACTGTGCTAGGTTTGGGGGATGTGGCAGTGGACGCACTGATATGAATCCCAATAAAAAACACAGAAAGTACAAGGTTCCCCCCTCGTCCAGGCAGGAGAAACTGCATGACCAGAGGCCCAGGGCGGTCAAAGACCTTGGTCCAAGAGCAGAGTGGAGGGAGGCGGGGTCAGCAGGGGCCAGGTCATGTGCAATTTTTGGATTTTGTTCCAACCACCCCCTCTCCCGCCGTGGAAAGTCGCTGAAGGGTGTCCAATGCCTCTGGCTCCTGTGTTAGAGGGGAGCAGAGCGGACCAGGGCAGCAGCGGGCACCAGGGAGGAGCCAGCACAGTTGTCCGGGAGAGAGGACAGTGGCAGGACAGGGATGCAGGTGGCCAGACAGATTCAAGAGCTGGGAGCTTGGTGAAGAACCGGACGTGGGAGGGGGAGAGAGGGACAAAACCGGAAAGGTCTCTGGCTTCTGGCTTAGCAACAAGGGGAGGCTGGGGCTATACCCCTAGACGGGAGGGCTGGAGAGTGAACCAGATGGTGTGGGAGGACAGGGCTGGATTTTAGGTGTGTGGGGTTTCAGCAGCTGGGAGATGCTCAGGAGGGGATGCTCAGGACTTGGGGTGTGGAGGCAAGGTCTCCACCGAAAGCTGGGAGAAGCACAGAGAGAGGGTGGGCCACTGGGGGAGAAAGGGGAGGGAGGAGAAGAGACCCCAGGGCTGCCCTGGAGAAGAACAGTATCCAAGGAGCTGAGCGGAGGCAAGTGGATGAACAGTATTTAATGCCCCTTCCAGCACCTGGCCCTCTCAGACGATGAGACCCTCCAGAGCCACGCCCCTCCTCACACACAGCCTGACATGCCTGCATTTTACAGACCCCGTGTGGGAAAAGCTGATGTGCAGACGCCCTGGGGGAATCTGCAAAGGCTTTATGGGAGGGGACCAGGGTGTGTGAACATAATCAAAACCACTGGGTTGTACGCGCCTGCTGGATGCATTGTGTGGTGTGTGAATAGATCTCAATGATGCTGTTATTTAAAAACAGGAAGAAAGGGTGTTTAGGCAAAATGAACAAAGTGAAATAACTTTGCCCAAGGTCATACAGCTGTCAGTGGCAAGGCCAGGATTTGAACCCAGGTCATCTGGCTTCATGGAACCCACAACCACGGACAGACTCACCTTGGGCCCTGGGCCCCTGCAGTTCCCTCTCCCTCCAAATCTACCCACGGGTGACTCCTAGTTGTCACTCGGGTTTCAGCTCACCCGTCACCTCCTCAGAGAGGCCCTCCCTCACTCTGCCCCAGCGCCCCACTCCGTGGCACTCGCTTATTGGTTTGTTTCTGGTTTAATGCTGTCGCTCATCTGGGGCAGCCAGCACTCAGGACAGTGGCTGGCACTGAGTAGGTTCTTTATAAATATCTGTTGGGTAAACGCATGAATGAGTTGGTTCTTGAAAAATGAGGGGAATTTTAGTGAACCACAGCGGGAGTGGGAAAAGCATGCCAGGCAGAGGAGAGGCACAGGCAACAGCGAGGAGGTGGGAGAGTGCAGGACAGACCTCCATCTTTGCATCAGGTCACGCCCGGTGCCAGGCCAAGCCCTCGGTGGGCAGGCTGCTAGCCAAGGCTTGCTGACTGACTGAGGGGCCATGCCGTTGGAAGAGCAGGGAGCAGACAGTCACCTCACCTCCGATCAGATAGGGGTTTTCGATATAACGCTGCGCTACGTAGTTCTCCACCGGAATTTCTTCTTTCTGGTCATCTGAACTTTTTGAGTCCTAGTTATAGTAATAATAATAAACATTTATTGAGCATATCCTGTGTACTAGGCACTCTACTTGGGGTGTATCAACCCTATCAGGGAAATTCTAATGTTACCCCATTTTACAGATGAGAAACTGAAACACAGAGAGGGGGAGTGACTTGCCCAAGGTGACATGCTGGTCGGTGGGGCTGCTGGGAAGTGGACCCACACAGACTGGGTCCAGAACCTGGCATTTAACCCAATAGGGCAGCCACTGGCCACACGTGGCTATGTACATTTAAACTGGTTAAAAGAAAGTGAATTTACATACTACAGCAAGGATGACCTTGAAGAGATCATGCTAAGTGAAAGAAGCCAGACACAAAAGGACAAATATGGTATGCTTCCACTTGAACGAGGTACCTAGATGAATCAAATTCATATAGACAGGAAGTAGAAAGGTGGCCTCCATGGGCTGGCCAGAGGGGGGAAATGGAGAGTTACTGTTTAATGGGTACAGTGTCAGTTGGGCAAGATGAAAACATTCAGCAGACGGTTGGTGGTGCTGGGCCTATGTGGCTCAGTGATTGAGCATTGACCTATGAACCAGGAGGTCACGGTTCGATTCCCAGTCAGAGCACATGCCCAGGTTGTGGGCTTGATCCCCAGTGGGGGACATGCAGGAGGCAGCCAGTCAATGATTCTCTCTCATCACTGATGTTTCCATCTTTCTCCCTCTCCCTAGCTCTCTGAAATATATATATATATATATATATATATATATATATATATATATATATATAAATTTTTTTTTTTCAAAGATGGTGATGGTTGCACAACAATGTAAGGGGAATTAATGTCACAAAACTGTATACTTAAATATGGTTAAAATGGTAAGTTTTATGTGTATTTTGCCACAATAAAAAAGGAAACAGATTAGAAACCCAGTCCTTCAGTCGCACTAGCCACATTTTTTGCCAAAGTCAACACGTGGCTGGTGGTCACCACATCGGGAAGCACAGGTGTACACCATTCCCCATGTAGAAAATTCCATTGGTCAGTGCTGCCTAGAGCACCACACAGGCCCCAGGGACATTCCTCTCCCTCCTCTGAAGACAGCGATGATCTCACACACACGTGCACAGCGCCTCAGCCTGCACAGCCCTTGCCCACTCACACTGTTCCCCGCAGAGTAACTGGGTGAGAGCACGGAGGCCCAAAGGCAAGCCTCACACACTTGGTGAGGTCCCAGAACAGACCAGTGGCAGGGAGCCCTGAAACCCAGGGATTCTGGTCCCAAGGGTGGCCCGAGCTATTTCAAGACAGAGGCAGCCAGGCCTTCCCTTCTTGGAACCCGGACGCCCCACATATGTACTCACGTGGCTGCCAGGGGGATTGACAGCACCCCGGGCCTGCTGGGCCTCCAAGCTGGCGAGCTTCTTCCCAGCAGTGCCCTGATAGTCTCATGGAAGGAGTCAGGACACACGGTGGAGGGAGGAAATTCATTTACTGAGCGCCTGCTATGAGCCTGCTAGTGCAGCAGGTGCTGATGTGTAGGAGTTTGATCACCTTGCTCTTCTCACCCATCCTGCACTATCACCATCTCTAAGGTTCAGAGGGGTTCAGCAATTTTCCCAAGACCACAGAGCTTCTGAGTAGTGGAGGCAAGATTGGAACAAGGATTTCTACTGAATCATGTCTTGGGACATGATGGGGGGAGAGGGAACTAGGACCGAGGGGCAGTTAACCAAACTCCCCCCCAGCTGGGTGAGCCGGAGGTCCTGGTAATGCAATGTTCTCAGGTTTTAGGCACATTAACTCACTGCATTCTCAGCAGGTGTTGTTACTACCTATCCCTCATTTAGTTGGGCACAGAGAGATGAAGTAACTTGTCCAAGGTCACACAGCTATTGTGAGGCAGGATCAGCATTTGAACCCAGGCAATCTGGTTCCAGAGACTTACCATGGGAAGACCCATGGGCAGAACTTCTCTGCCAGCCCTTCAAGTTTTCAGGGTGGGAAAGAGAGGCTCCTTGTCCCAGTGAGCACAGAGGGTTTAGGGAGGAAGGGGGAGAGGCAAGCTCACCTTCCTCCAGTCCATGATGTCCTTCAGCCTCCGGAATAGGAAGATGCCCTTCCCCTGGGACCGGGCTACCTGGGGTGGGGGTGGATGCAGAAAGGTCAGCATTCACTCTTTGTGGTCCTTGTGTACCCCTATGCCGGGGCCCCTGCCCAGCATTTCTGTCTCCATCTCCCTCATGGGCCTCCTGCTCTCCCCAGAGGAATGGCCCAGCCCAGCCCTGAAGGAAATGGAACAGAGAAGGTGCTATGCCTGGAAGGAGGGAGAAGCAGAGGGGAAAGGGAGAGGCCAGCTTAGCTCACAAAGGCATCAACTGCATGAATAATACAAAAGAGCAGATGATTAAAAACCCATTTCTAACAGTCCTGGGAACATATCATCCAATTCTTTTTTTGGAAATCAATTTGCCTTCCTAATTAGGTTTTCCTTCGGCGAATACTGAAATCAGTCTGCCTTCGCCGAATGCCAGCATGGATAATTCATAGCTTCAGAGAGTCAAGGGGCTGGGAGAATCTGTAAGTCAGCACCAGAGGCATTACTTCCTCCTGTGACATCCTCTACCGTGGTCACCTGCCTGGCCTTGCACCTCCACAGGGCCAGGGAGCTCACTCCCCCTACATCGCAACACAGCCCATTTGTTGCAGAGTAGCTCTATTAGGCAGTCATCCAAAAGGTATATAGTAGGTGTCTACTGTGTGCTGGGCATTATGCTCTAGCAATAACCTCGTGAAGTTTTCCCAGCGTAACGTGTTTTGAGCTAAATTTTGCCTGCCTGGCTCTGGCCTCTAGGACGAATCTGATTCCTGGGTCCTTTAGTTATCTTCAGCCGCTGAGCAGGTCCCCCCATGTCATTTGTTCCTCCAGCATAAAGGCGTTTATGCTGGAGGAAAAAACTCTCATTTCTCTCTGTTCTCCTCTGAGCATGGCCCCGCTGGCCACTGTGGGGCTCTCCGTACAATGCAGGGGCAGGCAGAGTTGTCAGGCGCGGCTGTACAGGTGGCCCCCTGCACGAAGGGCTCCCAGTCATGGGGGCAGTGGGAGCTGAAACCCAGCCTCCTCTGTCTGCTGTGCTGTGCACCCTGGTTCAGGGTTGTGTGTGCCCAGAAGACGGGGTGTCCAATACACTGCGGAGCACTATGGTGGCTCAGGGGCCGCAACATGCACAGCTGTTTTGGAAAGCAACTAATCATCAGTGTGCTTCAAGGCTCCCAAGAGTTCACGGCCACACAAAAGATTTACAATCACTTCACAGAAGGGGATAATCCAATGTAAACAACGAAGAGGCACTCAACTCATCGGTCTTCAGAACCATGCAAATGACAACTGCAGGATGGCACCACTACACACTCCCCGAGGGACTGAAACGGAAGACAGGCAATGTCAGGTGCTGGTGAGGATGTGGAGGAACCGGAACTCTCTCATGTGCTGAGAGGCGTATAGGTGGTTTGGAAACTCTTGGGCAGCATCCACGAAAGCTGAACACAGGCACCCCCGTGGCCTACGCATGCACATGGGCACCCCGGGCATGTGCAGGAACGTCCACGCAGCACAATTCATAATGGCTCCAACCTCAAAACTCCCACGTAGACAGATGTTCACTTAATAGAACAGTAAACAATGGTAAAGCATAATTTGCATTTAACCACATCCGTACGGATGAATATCATGAATGTGATGTTGAGGGAGAGAAACCAGACACAGTGTAGCCATACTATGTGATTCCAACTATATAAAGTACAAAAGCAGGCAAACAAATCCATGGTCAGAGTGGCCTGGGGGATGGTGAGTGGAGAGGGTCTGAGGGGAGCTGTTGGGGGCTGTTAATGCTCTGTGTAGGGTCTGGGTACTGGTTATTCAAACGTGTTCACTTTGTGAAGATTTATCAAGCTACACCTGTATAAGGTGGACATGTTCTGTTGCATTAAACTTCAGTTTAAAAGGTGGGTTTTTTTTTAAGGTTTATAACTTCCGATGTAGGAACCTTGCCTCCACTCTTGGCTGCCTTCCCCTTCCTCTTCTTCCTGGCTGGCAAACCCACCTCTCACCTTGGAGCTGGAAACACCAGATACCTGTTTTTCCAGCCTCCCCTGCAGCTAGTAGAAACCATGTTTTGGCCAGTGAGACCTAAGGAGACATCTGGTTGGAGCTTTGGGGTTCTGAGAAAGATTTTCCTCCTTGTTAAAAACATTGGGGTTGATGGCTGCGTGGCTCAGTGGCTGAGCATTGACCTGTGAACCAGGAGGTCACGGTTTGATTCCTGGCCAGGGCATATGCCCGGGTCACAGGCTCGATCCCCAGTGTGGGGCGTGCAGGAGGCCGCCAATCAATGATTCTCTCATCACTGATGTTTCTCTCTCTCTCTCCCTCTCCCTTCCTCTCTGAAATCAATAAAAATATATTTAAAAAAAGAAAAAAACATTGGGGTTGACAAGGGAGGGGAAACAGAGGAAGAGGAGGAGAAAAGAGAGAGAGAGGAGGGGGAAAGAAATGTGTATGGAGGGAGATGGGAAGGGAGGGAGCAGAGAGGGAGAGAGAGAAAGAAATGCTTGGCTTCTTTCCTTCTTTCTTCAAATATTACAGTCTAAGGAGATGATGCCGCTACTGCAGCAGCCATCTCACACTGAGGAGATGACAAGTCTGATGACACAAGCCAACACACTGAGGATGTAGAGTGAACAAAGAGAAGGAACCTGGGCTTTTAATGGCATTGTTGAGCACACCCCCAAACCGGGAACTTTCTAGTTTAGCTTTCTTGTTATCTGAGATAGTGAAATGGTGTTATTGTTTAAAGAATTGTGGGTAACTAACCTCCTAAGGGAGTAGTCCTAAAGAGTGGAAAATAAACTGGCTACATGGTGATATATGTGGGCAGTTAAGACTGGAAATCATCTTAACTCCAGCAGACTGCTACCCCCCTCCCCCCCCCAAAAAAAACCAAAACAAAAACCCACAACAATATTTCCAGCCCCTGTGTTTTTCCAGAGCCTTGCTACCCCCACCCGCCATCAAGAGGTAAAGTCAATGTCCTCTCCCCTTGAATCTGGGCAAGCCTTTAAGACAGTCTCCATTAACTGAGTATGGCAGAAGCAACGTTGTGTGGCTTCCAATGCTGGGACATAAAGGCAATGCAGCATCCACACAGCTTGCTCTTTGGGGATGGCCACCTGGGAACCCAGGCACCATGCTGTGAGGAAGCTCGGGGTCGCATGGAGAGGCCCACATGGAGGGCAACGGAGCATTCCAGGCCTCAAGCCTGGCTGAGTTCCCACCTTGCCAGCCCTCGGGGGGACCTGCCCTGTAGGTTTCGGAGCAGCCATGAGCCTTTGCTGTGGAACGCTGCCCAAACTGGAGGCTCAGGAGCTGAATAAGACACAGTGCTGTTCAAGCCACTGCGTTTGGGCTGCAGCAGCAGAACCAGACACTGACTTTAGGGAAACGGTTCACAACAACGGTCAGACCAGCAGCTAACACTCCTCAGATGTTTCCTCTGTGCCAGGATTTACACACGCTACCTCCTTAAAGCTTTAAAAGAAAAACCTACTAGGACATGTAGCATCTTATCATCCCCATTTTGCAGTCAAGAAACCAAGGAACAGAGAGGCCAAACACTCTATTCAAGTGACAGATGCAGGGTAGTTAAATCTGTACTTCACAAGGCCGGCGCTCAGGCACCTCCTGCAAAAGGCCAGAGTACACAGCGAACGTGGTGCGACTTCAGGCAGTATCGCTCTTACTTGATAATTTGGGAGGAAAGTATTTCTATAAAAAGGCATGTTATTGATTGGAAAACAATATATGGATTATTAGAATGAACCATACTTTGATTTTGCGCCACCTGTGGCCACTCACAGCCCTCCACCCCCTGCTGCCCTCTGCCTGGCCCGTGGGGGCCATTCATCATGTGACAATCATTATGTGGCATTTATCTGGTGCTGCAGATGTGGCCGGTGGTCTCCCCGGCAACCACTCCCTTTTTCCCTGCAGACAGAGCCCCATTTGGATCACGTCCTCATGGTGGCCCTTCCCTCCGGGAGGTCTGAGCCCTCACGGTGGTCCTACGCGCCGGCCGTTGGTTCAGACATGGGCCAGCCGGATGCCAGAGGGAGTCTGCTGCACGGACTGCTGGAAAGTGTGTGTCCTTTTCAAAAGGGACACGAGGCTAGAGTGTTCCTTCATTACTGTGGCGGGTGAAGGTGTGAGGAGGTGAAGCCAGAGCTGCGGCAGCCGTGCTGTGGCTGAGAGGAGCAGCCAGCCACTGGGATGGGCATTGAGGGCGATGTCAAGCTGCTCAGCTAACCATCCTGGAGTCAACCTATCATCATAACATTGAAAAGTCTCACAGGCTTTTAAATTCCAAACCCAAGGGTGTGTTCGGATGTTCCCTGAGCGTGACAGCCAAGCTCTGTCCCACACCAAGTCTACTGAATCATAGCAGTATTGGCATATCTGTGATGCTGCTCTCAAAAGAAGTCACAGTTAGTATTGCACATCGCACTATCATTGTTGCAGGTATCTCAGACATTGTTTATGCTCATGATGACTGAGATTATGGTAACTATTGGGCCTGCTGTTAGACTCTCTTTAATTGTTCATGAAAAGCACATATATTACTAGAGCATAAAGAATATTCTAATAGTTTGTGTGGTGGCCGTCAGAATGCACTCGCAGGCCTCTGCCTGCAGGAGAGTGACTGATGGAGAGCCCCAGGGGCCGGGGAAGTCCACCCTGTGCTTGCCAGGCCTCACTCAGGGTCCAGGCAACCCCTGAGGACTGTAGGGTCCCGAAGGCTGGCCCCTCCTGGGAGACAGGAGCCTCCCCTCAACCTTGTGGAACTTTCCTTAGGCTGCGGCAAGGTAGGAGCCTCCCCCTCCCCCAACCTTCCTCCCTCACTGGGATCTGACAGCTCTCTGAGCCTCCCACTCCCCCCTCCCCTTTCACAGGCAAAACTCTGGCATGTTGAATCTTGTCTTGGCATCTGTTTCTCAGAGGACCCAGACTAGCAGTCTGATAACTGTTTTCAATATAGTTGCTTTCTTTTATAATCAAATATCCTCTGTTGATGCTTTCAGAACACTACCCTGTGCCGGGGTCCACAGGTTGCACCAGACGCTGGAGGCCCAAGGCATGAGAACAGTCCAGAACCCCTGCCCTCTTATTTGAGCTGCTGTTAGCTGGGTCCCCTGTTATTTGATACCCAAAGCATCCCGACTCTTAAGGGATATCAGTGAAAAAGTGTGACAAGGTCCGGTTCATAAAACAGAAGTTACAATGTGGTTCTTCCTGTCCTGCAGTTTGGAAAGAGGCCCCCAAGCTGAGAACAGCCCAGGGGGCCCAGACTCGTGGCCCTGAATGCAGTGCCAACCAGCCCTGCAGCCACAGAGGGGCTGACAGACAGGCCTGGGCCCGGACAGCCCAGCACCTGCCTCCCAGCCACACCAGGGAGGCTGGAGGAGCAAGGTGGTCCCCACCGTCTGGGTCTTGCCAGCCCAGAGGGCCTGCACGGTGGCAGGGGAGAATGCTCCAATGGAAATAGTTTGGATGTGTGCACTTTAACTCTAGACTGGACTTTTAAATTCCAAATCCAGGGGTTTGTTCTTACATTCCCCGAGAGTGACAGCCAAGCTCTGTCCCACACCGAGTCTACGGAATCAGACTCCGTGGGGATGCGGTGCTTTACTAAGCTCTCCAGAAAATTCCCACTCACTCTCAAGTCTGAGCTGAACAGTCTCATGACTCAAAGTGTTGTTCAGGGACCAGCAGCAATGGCAAACTCATTAATTCCATTTTACCCATGAGGAAATGGACTGAGAGGGGTTGAGCGACGGCTCAGGGTCATAGCGCTCATAAGTGGCAGATACAGGGTTAGAACCCAGGCTAGTCTGACCAGAAGCACCCACTCAGCTTACACCCGAGATGGTGCCTCAGCTACTGAGGAGGGAGAGCAAGTGGGCGCGCGCACGCACAAACACACACACACACACACACACACACACACACACACACACACACACACACACACACGATCCCTCCTCTTAATTACAGCGGTAAAGGCCGTGGGCTGGGAAAAGGAATCAACTTAATACGCAAGTGCTCATTCCCAATTAGCACAAACTACCATTTGTCGGAGAGGATAATGCCTGCTGGGCGCTGGATCCAGCGGGGTGCAGCGTTCATCTGCCCAAGCCCGTGTGCTCAGCTTCACGCCCTCCTCCCTCTGCCTCTCAGGCGGGGAGGCCAGCCTTCCCTTCCCACAGACCCCGCCGGGGAGAGGATCAGGAGCCTGGGCAGATCCCCGCTCAGTCTTTGCTCGCTGAGCATTTGTGAAAAGCTTGAATAAGTAGGTCTAGGCTCCTCACCTTCACAGTGGGGCTGGTCGGACCTCCTCCCAAGGACCACGAGACCTGGGCAGTGCAAGAACGCACTTCCCATACCCCGCCTCCATTTTCCTTTAAGTCAGGAAGAGAGGCAGGGATCTGAGCTCCAGCAAGACCCTGGATCCCTGCCCTGGTGCCCTGAGGACCACGTGTTCCCCTGCCAAATACTTATTGAGCACCTACGGTGTACTGACATTCCTAGCTGCTGGGTCCACACGCTGCAGAGAGGAGGAGGTGAAGTTGGCCTTCGGGGGAGGCAGGCGGTGCATCTAAGGCTGAATTACCAGGCAGGGTTCTGTCCTGAGGTGCACCCTGAAGGGTCCCTGCTCTGCTGCCTGGGACACCCCTCCCCCCAGTCCTTGGCCCTGGGCACTCACAGGCTTCATGATCCAGGTGATTCCTGGGTTTTTACGGAACTCCTCCACAAACAGGTGGTACTCGCACGGCATCTCAAAGGTTTTGGGGAAGAAGTCGCACTTGGCTGCCTCCAGCTTTCCTGCCTCGCGCTCCAGCTGTTTCCGGAACCGCTTCAGGTTCTTCACCATGTAGTTCTTGCGGGTCAGCTGAGCAGGGGGATGGGTGGGCAGGCCCTTAGCCCCACTCCACCTCCAACCCTGCCCATCCCAACTGCCCCCACCGCCTCCATTGTCTGGCCCACAAATAACAGTAACTTTGACTGACGAAGCGTAACTTTAGCCTGCGCTTCTAGCAGTCTCCCCACCTTACAGGTGAGGAGGCGGAGGCTCGGAAAGGTTTAGTCAGTTGCCCAGAGCTATGCAGCTAACAGGCAGCACAGCCAGGCTTTGATCCAGGTCTGTCTAACTCCGAAGTTCCAGCTTCTAACCGCTAAGCTGCACAAACCTTTTAAAATTTCCCACCGCTGGCTTCTCCATCTTTGTGGTCTGGTCCCTCCTGGACCTCCCTCCTGTCTCTAGACTCCAAACTGTTCAACTTGTCTCTACCCTGAGATCACCATACACGCGCAAGTATCCTGCTCCTTTGGTCCTTGCACCCCAATCCAACCTGACCCTCACATCTCTACTGCTGAAACGTCACCCAGCCGGCGACCTCCGACCCCACCCCAAGACGGCCTGTTCCTCAGGTCTTAGATCCTTACTCCCTCTCACTGGTTAGCTCATCATCTATCCAGTGCACATATTGCCCACCTGGCGTGCACCCCGAAGTCCCTGACACCTTTCACTCTGGTCCGTGTAACCCCAAACTAGCTCCTGCTCATTGCTACAACCAGTGACAGGCCTCGGCCGACCCAGCCCCTCCGCCGGCCCAGCTCACCTCGTAGTGGTTTCGGAAGTGACTGATCCGCACGTGTTCATCCATGTAGGTGTGGTCGAAGTTCTCCCGGAGCCAGCTGACGTCACACCAGTAGAAATCCCACTCCCCTTCGCTGGGAGTGGGGTGGGACAAAGGTCATGGCCTGAGGACCTCAGCACTGCTGGGAGTCTGGGGCCCAGGGAGCTACAGCTCAGGGGTCAGCAGCAGTGTGTCTATTAGGAGTCTCAAGGAGGTGGCTGTGGGCCGCTGCTGACCAACCCTGCTTTGTTAGTTAGGCTAGAATGACAACCAGAGAAACATTCCTACCCAAATCCAGGCTGGTGGTTTCCAGTGAGCCCAGATATTACTTCCTGGCACATATTGGCCAGACTGCTATTCTATAATTATCCCCACTATAATTAACCATGTCAGACAGGCACACCCTCCAGATCACAGCCCCCACCACTCCCTATGGCCTATGACAACCGGCCAACCTCACCCGATCATGTTACCTGCCTGGGCCTTGGTAGCATCCTGGGGGTGCCACCCCCACGCTCACATTACCAAGCAGTGGACTTAGGTAACATCTGCAAGGCCCTTTGAGTTCAAAAGGCCCTCTTCTTACTCGATCCTCAGAGCAGCAGCTCTGGAAGAGACCAGGATCACACCTGGAGCCCTAGGACAAGGCGGGGCTGGCTCACCCAGGACATGGCATCAGGATTCACATCCAGGCCTGCCTGACTCCAAATTCCAACCTTTTTCTTCACCACCATGACAGGGAGAGGGACAGAAACCAGACTAATCTATGAAATCTGATACAGAGCTGGGGTGGAGGTGCTTGAAAAAGATGTGAAATAAAATAATACCTCCATGATTACTTCTAAATATTTAAGTAAAAAATTAGATATGACTGAAGTCCCATGTATCATCTTTCCTGCCCAAAGGAAGCTACTAGCCTGAATATGGTGTGTACCATTTCTATGACTGTTTTTAAAGCTTTACTATGTACCTATGTGTGTATTCATCTACAGCACATGACATTGTTTGGCATGTTTTTAAACTTTCTAATAGCTAATACTTATTGCTTGCCATGTGCTTGACACTGTTCTAAACACTTTACAAATATTAACTCATTGACCCTCATAGCAATCCTAAGTGTTAGGTTCTATTATTAAGCCCATTTTACAGATGAGAAAACTGAGGCAGAAAGATATGAAGGAACTCACCAAGTTCATACAGCCCATAAGTTGCAGAGCTTCTGAGAACAAGCCCTGTGTTTAGAACCACTCCTGACTATTTCCTTGTACAACTTGCTTTTCCACCAACTTTTTGTTTTGGATGAATGAATAAATAATGGATGAATGAATAAATAATGCATTATTCATTCATTCATCCAACACATATGTGTTGAGGTTATCTTTGTGTTAGAGATGATGTTGGGTACATCATTGGGTATAAGACATAGGAGGAACCAAAACTACTGGCCAGGTGGTGCATATAATACCACAGTGAATATTAACAATAAACAAAGAAACAACAAAAAAATAACCCTACAATGAGGAATTGTGAAATGTGCCAAGAGCAATCCAGTAGGAGGCCATGAGGCAGGGTAGCTGAGGGACCTATGTTGGGTGGAGGCCACCATGTGGAAGTGATAATTTGACTGAGGTCTTAACAGTAAAGAGGAGGGAAGGGCAGGAAACGAGGCCCTGAGGTTGGAAAGAACAGGTTCAAGAATGTGAAAGGCCAGAGCAGAGGGATAGAGGTCACGGATGATGCTGAAAAGTAGGGCAGGGCCCAATTAAGCAGTGCTTTGTAGGCCACGGTGCAGATTTGGGGTTCTTTCCTAACTCTGAAAGTTCATTCATCTGCACATCATCTTCATGCTCATCACAGCCAAGTTGCTCTTACATCACCCACAAAGACATTAAACTGCTCACAAGGGCAGCCGAGACTCAGGTTCCTTCTACCTTCCCATTCTGCTATCATTCACATGTTGTCCTCATGCTCATCACCCAAGGGTCACAAGACGTTGTTGCAGTTCTAGGTATCACGCCATCTTTCTTGGTGGGAAGCAAAGGAAGAGACAGCTCTGGCCACATCTATTCCAAATACATGACAGGCTGATGGTCTGAACTGAGACCTCATTCTATCTGGAGATACTAGACCTCAGTTTAAGTCCAAAAGGGTGAGGCCTCACATCCATAGAGCCATGTCTGGTGTGATGGCCCTGGCCTCTGGCCCTTCCCGATTTGAGGACCCTGAGGCAATTTAGGATCAGTCATGAAGCAACCTGCTTCATGGACTCCCACACCATTAGCACCAGACAAACCCTCAAACCACGGAGCAAGGCTAAGGAGGGGCAGTGGACAGCCTGAGCCCACAGAGCAAAACAGGAGAGAGCCCCTTCCGGTACAACACATTCATGTGCCAGTCACCTCACCTTCCTCTCATTCATCCCAAGGCCCTCCCCCATCCTCCGTTGCACCAGGCAGTGGGAATCATGGATCCATCCTTTGGCTCATTTGTTCCTTCGTTCACTGCGAGACTGCTAGAATAGGGCAGAGGTGAGCCTGGGACTCTGCAGACAGACTGAGTACAAATCCTAGCACAAGCCCATACAAGCAGAGTGACCTCAAACATGACATTTTTTACTCTTTTGTGTCCAGTTTTCTCGTCAGTAAAATGGGGATAATAATAGCACCTACCTGGAAGGTTTGCTGGATAATTCAAAGAGGTTGTGCATGTAAAGTGCTGAACTATTGTTATGCAACAGATATTTATTGAGCACCGTGACAGGGTAGCTGGTTGTCCTCCCCTTTTTCTATAGTAGTAGAATCCCAACATTTACCATTCTACGTTTTCCAGATTCCCTTGCAGCTAGGTGTGGCCACATGGCTAAGGTTCAGCCAGTGAAATGGGACTTCTGGGTTGTGTCCTTTAAGGGCAGGGCATGTCTTTTCTTGCCTCCTTCTGACCTACAGCTCTTGGAATGTGGATGTAAGGCTGGAGCTCCACCTGAGACCGTGGAGAAAAGGGCCTCATTCAAGGGATAGCGGAGTGGAAAGCCAGAAGCATATGGACCCCACATTTCCACACCATCTCTGAACATCCTACCTCTGGACTTCAGTGGGAGAGGTAAGTAAACTTCCAGTCTGTCAAAGCCTCTTTTACTTTGGGTCTCTGCTACATGCATCCAAACCCTAACCCCAGAAACTAATGTTAGCACCTACGATGTGCCAGGCATTGTAAGCGTTTTCATCTCAGTTCCCTCAGGGCTCAGGATAGAAGAAAAAAATGTAGGCTTAAGTCACTTGTTCAGTAACTTGTTCAAGGTCACAGAAGTAGTAAGTGGCCAGGGGAGAGTAGCCCTTGACCGGGACCTGTCATCACTAGATTTCCGCCAGCAGGTCTGTGATGGCTGTGCTCCTTGTTTTACAGAGAGCCACAGGACACTGCTGGAACACGGCAGAGAGGAGCCTGGCATATTTAAGGGCAGGGCATGTCTTGTCTTGCCAATTTACAGCTCTTGGAATGTGGATGTAAGGCTGGAGCCCCATGACATGGAGCTGTGGAATAACTGAGCTGGGTTTGAATCCCACTTATGTACTCTATGACCTTAAGCAACTGGGTTAATCAGATGTTTCTGGATGCTTACAAGGCTTAAATAAGACAAAGATAGAACCAATAATGTGCCTGACCCATGTGGGTGCTAAATAAATGTTGGCCCCTGTCACCGATGAATTGGGATGAGTCCCAATAGCCACCCAGAGGAACTGGGAGAAAAACAAATGGCGACAAGGACCAGTGAGACAAAGGGAAGGAGAGGTGAGGTTGGGGTGGGGGAATCTTACTCCTTTACTTCCACCCATCCTGGCCTGTGGCGAAGGACATCCAAAAGAGTATTCATAAGAGTGGTCTTGAACCGGACTGATGCTCTCTGCTCTCTGAAAGACAAGGCAACAGGACCCTTGCTGAGGATCAACTATTTCCCTAGGATGGTCCAGGGATAGGGAAAAAATGGGGAAGGAAGAAAGGCCAAGGTGCATACCTGGAAATGCCAAAAAGTGGAATGACTGGATTTCAGAATTTAGCATATAACATGCAACACTTAAAATAATCAAATTGAACATTATAGTATCTTTGAATCATTGAAAAATAATAGCGACCATTTTATTCAGTGCCTACGATGTGCTGTGCGTAACCCTTATAACTAATGATGAGTATTTGCAAATCCCCTGTTCTGGCGCTCATGCTGAAAGATGGAGCAGATGTGCTCCATCCTATTCCTTCTCTAAGTTCAGCTAAAACCCCAGGACACTGGATAAAAACAAACACACAGGAGAAGACTGTGTAAGATGAACAGAAGGTAGACCAGCTAGGGACTTTAGGACCCACAGGACAGCAGGGTGGTGAATTTTCTGCGTGGTTTATTTTTATTTTGCCTCCTAGATCCCAGAGGTAAAAACAAAATGTTTAAACTGACAAATACCAAGTGTTCGTAAGAATGTGGAGAAATGGTAATTACCCTACAGTGCTGATGGGAGTGTAAATTGGATGAACCTTTGGAGAGCAATTTGGCATATGAAAGCCATCAAATACCATTTCATACACATTAGACTGGCAAAAATCTCCAAGTCCAAGTTCTGGCAACAATGCACTAAAATGGAAATTCCTCCCCTGCTGGTCGAAGGCACTTTGGAGAACCACGAGGCAGTATTTAGTACAGCTAACCATGCACGGACTCTGCACCCACCATTCCATCTTAGCTCTATACCCTAGAGCAGGGGTGGGCGAACTTTTTGACTCGAGGGCCACAATGGGTTCTTAAACTGGACCGGAGGGCCGGAACAAAAGCATGGATGGAGTGTTTGTGTGAACTAATATAAATTCAAAGTAAACATCATTACATAAAAGGGTACGGTCTTTTTTTTTTTAGTTTTATTCATTTCAAACGGGCCGGATCCGGCCCGCGGGCCGTAGTTTGCCCACGGCTGCTCTAGATAGACACCCTACATATGTTCTAAGCAATATATGTACAAGGGTGTTCCTTGTTAGTATTTTGTATGGAACCTGCAGCATATACTGTTGGTGGTCCGCCCTTATCCCTTGGACATTCGCATTCCTGCGCATGCCAATCAGAGGGCTTTCCACTTCCAGCACCTGTAGCTCTTTGCTGAAGGGCTTTTCCTGGCTCTCCAGAGTCTGCTCTGCTAGTTCTTGGAGCAGAACTGAAGTACCAGGGAGTTAACTGCCCTCCCCCAATAGCATATAACCAATGATGGCTGGAGTTGATGGATAAGTCCTCCAGCTCGCTCATCATTTAGTTGGGTGACGTCTGCAGTGTGTTCTATGCTATCTCCTAGGAGTCCCAGTGGGATTGAGCCCTACTTACCCACAGCAATAACCTGTCAATAATGTACCTTTTACTGGTTTCCTTCCTTTAGCTGACTCACTTCCCTGCCAGTGCTTACTGAAATCACCTTCCAGGTAAACGACTTGTCCTCGAATCCTTGGCTCAGGGTTGCGTCTGGAGGAAACCAATACTAAGACACAGCCTATATGCCTTTTAACAGGAAGTAGATAAATAACTTGTGGTAAACAATGGGACATATGGAGTAGTTAAATGTATCAGACCTACATGCACAAATATGATAAATACTGAAAATATGATTTGGGGTTACAAAAGCAGGATGTGTGATATTCACAGTATAATGCCACTATGTGACTTGTATTCTTAGCCACTCATGCAGCTAGGGGTGTCCATGTCACACAGTTCTGGTCAATAAATTAAATATATAAGGCTGATAAGGAGGGTGGGTTCCTAGGAAGCTTTGTGGATTTTGTTTTGTTTTTTTAATGTTTTGATGTGTGTGCGTGAGAGAGAGAGAGAGAAGAGGGAGGGTGGGGGAGGTATTGTGTCTTCCCTCCCCACTTCTTCCCATCTTGATCATGACATGAAGGCTGGAGCTATAGCAGCCACTTGGTGTCCATAAGGAAAAGATCAAGACAATCACAGAGACACCAGCTCTGACATTGTTGAACTACTGCACCAGCCCTCCAGATTTTATGTTATGTGAAAAAAAGTACAATATTTTAAAGCTGCTATTAGTTGAGTTTCCTGTTACTTGTAGCTAAACACATTTCTAATTGATATCTGCCCTAATAAAATATGTGGGTGGATCCTGTTAACTGAAGTGCTCTTTGCTTTGTGGGGGTAGGAGTAGGTGTATAAATTTAGGGCCAGGATCTAGAACAGAGCTGAATCGCTCTGCATAAGAAAGTGAGAGATTTGAAATTGATGAGATAGAGTTAGTATGGAGAGAAAGAAGCAAAGATGGCTGCTGCATGAGAGAAGACGACACGATGGTGGTATAGCTAGGAGGGACTTGAGAGAGAACAAAAATATATAATGAAATAAAGAATAGAAATATCCAAAATATTTGCCATGGTGTGTACCAAGTAAACTACCTCTTCTAATTCCCCACACAAATCTTCAGCAAAGTCTACATTGCTCACTCCTGCTTTGTGCAAATGGATTCTATTTAGGAAGTCTAAAGAAGTGCTGAGTTCTGCACCAGGTTACTGATGCAGAGTGAAGCAGAAGATCAGGGTGGAGTTGACATTTGAGTTATCAAGTCAACTTCTCATGGTTGTTAAAGGAGGAGGGAAGACGTAGTTACATATAACATGGGACCTAGAGTCCAACAAACTCTGCTACTAACTAATCCTGTGGTCTTGAGGAAGTTACATAACCTCTCTAAGCTTAATTTTCCCCATCTATAAAGTGGTCATAACAGTAGTATTTACTTCAAAGATTGTGGTAAGGATTCAATGAGATAATTCAGGTGAAGTGACTAGCCCAGGGCCTACCACATGGTAAATGCTCAATAATTGTTTATGTTTATTATTATCATCATCATCATCATTATGCTTATTGAAGTTAAGAAGGAGGAGGGGGAAGGAAGGAAGGAAATTATTTCTGTGTTTATTAAATTGGGTTGGGCCACTCACCGTTCTTTTCCCTTTGACAATCCATAGCCCTTGTAGTTTTGATTCTGCAACGAGAAAGGAAAAGTGATACAACTAGTTTTGCATGTCCACCTTGCCTTCCCAGTTCCACTTACTGCAAATATTTACATCCTCAAACCATCAGATTCAACACTGTCCAGACCCTGAGACAGTAAGGTCATCCTGGCCAAGTTCTCATTGATCACCATGTGGCCAGCAACTTGGTCCTGGGAATGAATCCCCAAGCACCCAAGGCCCACCTCACTCTAGACTTTCTCCACAGGAATGACCAGTAGAGTGAATACCTAGTTTTCAATGGTCCAAAAGTCCATCCTGAACCCAAGTTTTGAGGGCTGAACTCAGCCATCTCTGTGAGAAGACCTCCTACTACTCCAACCTTGAATGTTTTATTAGATCCATGATTCAAGAGGGGGCTGGATCAAAGACTCAGAGAAAAGTTAATTTCTTCCCCCTAAAATAGACCTTTCAAATTCTCAAAGGGTGGTGGGTATTATTCTGCTTCTACCATACAGCTTGGCCCGCAGCCCTGGTATGACTGATGGCAGATATGAGAAAAGGTATCAGAACTGGTCTTGTGCAGGATCACCTCTGCAGCTTGGACAGACTTGTCATCTGCATTAGTTTTTTATTACTATACTCGAGGCCTGGTGCACAAAAATTTGTGTACTGGAGGCATGGGGGGGGGGTGTCCCTCAGCCCAACCTGTGCCCTCTCACAGTCTGGGACCCCTCGGGAGATAACCACCTGCTGGCTTAGGCCCGCTCCCCAGATGGCAGATGGCAGGCCCGATCCCGCGGTGCCTGCCCCGCCTCCCCGGGTCACAGATGGCAGGCCGGGATGGCGGCAGGGTGGGCGGTGGATTGCACTGTCCAGCCCCGCCTGCAGTATGCAAATTTAATGGCCATCTTTGTTGGGTTAATTTGCATACTCTTCTGATTGGCTCATGGGCATAGCAAAGTCAATTAGCATCTTTGTCTTTTATTAGTGTAGATGACAAATAACCACAAACTTAATGGCTTAGAACAGTGCAAATTTATATCTCACAGTTTATATGGGCCAAGAGTCTGGGCACGGCTTGGCTGGATCCTCTGCTCAGGTATCACAAAGCCACAATGAAAATGATGGCCTGGGTTATGGTTCTCATCCAGGACTTGGGGTCCTCTTCCAAACTGTTTGGCAGAATTCAGTTACTTGGGGTTGTGGGACTGAGGTCCCTGTTTACTTGCTAGCCATTGGCTGGGAACTGCTCTCAGCTCCGGACCTAGAGAGTGCTGGTCCCCAGACGCAGTTCACAACAAGAATGCTTGCTTTCTTCCAGGCCAATAGGAGCATGTCCTCTGATTTCCAACCCTTGTCCCTTCAAGTTAGCCACAATGGAGTCTCATATAACCTATTGTAATTATGATAGTAACTATCCCATCAAATTGACAGGCTCCACCCACACTTAAGGGGAGGGAATTACAAAAGGTGTGTACGCTGAGGGCACGAATCTGGGGGGGGGGGGGGCGGGGGCATCTAGAATTCTGCCTACCACACCATTCCACCCTTCAAAGAGCTGTTGGAGGAGGGTAATAGGAGGCTGCTCTACAAAATTGGCAGTAATAAGCTTACCCACAGAAATCATTAAAGTCTTATCCCATTCATCCATTCAAGCCCCTCCAACTACCCAGAACTAGTCAAGTGTCCTCGTCTTTTTTGATTACATTTTTTATACTCTCTCATGTTTTCAATTCCATTTTCCATGTTTACCTAGCTGCTCCAGTCTTTGATTGAAAAACTTTTCATTTCCTCACAGAATTGCATTGGCACTTCTGTCAAAATTCCATCGACTATAGATGTGGGTCAATCTCTAGTCTCTATTTTGTTCTGGTTATTGATTTGTCTATCTGAACGTCACTACCACACTGTCTTCATTACTGTTGCTTTCTAGTAAATCTGAAATCAGGTGGCATGTCCTCCAAACTTTTTTTCAAGATTGTCTGTAATTTGGGGGTCCATATAAATCAGCTTGCTAATTTCTAAAAAAAAAAAAATAGTATGTTGGGATTTTTTAAAAAATCTTCACCCAAGGATATTTTCTCATTGCTTTTAGAGTAGAAGGGAGGGGGGGAGGGAGGGAGGGAGGGAGGGAGAGAGAGAGAGAGAGAGAGAGAGAGAGAGAGAGAGAGAGAGAGAGAGAGAAGCATCAATGTGAGAGAGACACATCGATTGGTTACCTCCCAAATGTGCCCTGAGGTGAGGAATGAACCTGCAACCCAGGTAGGTGTCCTTGATCGAGAATCAAACCCTCGACCCTTCGGGTTCTAACCACTGAGCCAGGGCTAGTAGTTGGGATTTGATTGGGACTGCATTAAATCCAAAGATTGCTTTGGGAAGAAATGACATCATAAAGTATTTAGTCTTCCAATCCATGAATATGGTCAGTCTCTTCATTAATTTAAGTCTTCATTAATTTCTTTCCACAATGTTTTCTAGCTTTCAGTGTATGTCTTGAACATTTTGAATTTTTCATAGGTATTTGATTTTGTGATGCTATTGTAAATATGTTACATTCTATGGCAAAGGAAATTAAGGTTGCAGATTAAGGAGTGAAGGTTACTAACCAACTGACTTTAAAATATTGATTATACTGGATTATTTGGGATTACCTGGGGGAGGTCCAATGTAATTACTCATTTTTAGTTGTGAAAAGGAATTAAGGAAAGGAGCTGCCATTCATGAGAGGTGGAACACAGGATAAGAAGAAGCAGGTTGGGGTAGGAAGTGCTGTATTCTAGAGTAACTCATTTCATTTCTTTGGGTCTCTCTTTTCTCACTTAAAATGGGGGAGATGGCCTATGCACTCCTAGAGATCAGGACTTCACCTTGTGTCCCCATTGGCCAGCGCTGTGTTCCACTGGATGGATGGATGGATGGATGGATGGATGGATGGATGGATGGATGGAAGGATGGATGGATGGATGGATGGAAGGATGAGTGGGTTATGAATAGATGAATGGGCAGGCAAGCGGGAGATGGGGCGAACAAATCTCTAAGAGCTTTTCCAAGCCAGGAAATCCGAAATTCTGAGCTTCCTCCGAGTCACAGAAATCGCTGAGCACAGTTCGAGTCCTACAGTTTTGTAAATTTCCCGCCAGCCAGTCTGGTTCGGTGGACTTGCGCAGAGGCTCCGATGGCGCGCGGCATGCCGGGACTGGTGGTCTTTTCTCTGAATTTATAATTTTTGCTCACTCCATCGGAATCCTTCCGCGAGGATCCTACCTTTTTAATCCCTCCCTCCCTCTCTTTAGGGACGATGAAAGCACCAGGGTCCAGCTGCACTCCTACCTTCGGTCGTGACATGACGCGATTCCTCAGGGTCCGATTCAAACCGCCACCTCACCGGGCAGGAGCCTTTGCGTCCTGTTGCCAAGGCGACGGAGGGGGTGCCCGGACCCGCCGCTCTGATTGGATGAGCCAAGAGCACTTCTTCTGGAGCGGTCGGCGGATCCGAGAGGCAGGAAGCCATTGCACGCCCCGGTGGCCCAGACCCCTCCACTCCCGCAAAACTTTCTCCCAGCCCCACGCCTCCGAAGCCGTAGGACACTCCCGGCCAGAGTCTGCCGCGGGCATTCACGGCCCAGAGCCCCTTCCAGCTGAACTCCGCTTGACCCGAGAGCGCTGAGTCTGAAAAGTTGTCAGCTTTTGGAAAATGCAATGGTTCTGTTTCCTTACTCCGGCCCTCGCTAAGTCCCCTGGTCAGTTAGTTGGTCAGTTAGTTGATCAGTTGATAACGCTGCCAGTCACTTCTGCTCTCTCCAGCCACTCTGTAATTCTGAGCACCGACTCTGCCAGCGCTCACCTCAACGCCTGCAGGAGCCACCTACCTGGCCGGTCTACTAGTGACCGCTATTGCCCTGCCCATTCCAGTTTCGTTCTCTGCACTGCGGGCAAAGAGCTCTTTCAAACACAAATCCGACCTTCGTTCTCCCCTGCATATAACCTGAAGTGGCAACTTATTGATCAATGCACTCTGTACTGGCTCCCTGTCCTCCCACCCCCCCACCCCCCCACCCCCACTGCCTGGGGATCTATATACCAATCATAGCTGATTAGGAACTATTTTTTAAATTTTTGTTATTTTTGTATAGCAACAAAAATATGTGAGGTAGGAATATGTCTAACAAAATGTATGCAAGACATTTCATTAAACAACAAATTCTTATTAAGCATCTACTCTATGTTATCTCCCATTCTTGACTCTGAGGATACAGCAGTGAACAAAATCAACTAGCATCTGCCCTTGTGGAGTTTGTATTCTCACAGAGAAAATTGCAAAGCATTGAAGGACATTAAAGAAGGTCTGAATAAATGGAGGGATATACCATGTACATGGATGGGATATACCATATACATGGATGGGAAGATTCAATATCAACATAAAAATGTGTATTTTCCCAAATCCAACCAGGAATTTTGAGAGCTCTTGTCAAACCAAAATAACAAAGTGTATGTGTTGGGAGCTATGGGGGGGGGGGGGGGGAGAGGAACAACTGTAATAATATGAACAATAAAGATTTAATTAAAAAAATAAAAAGTCAAAAAAAAGAAAGATTCCCCCCAACCTGCAAAAAAAAAAAAAAATGGGTAAAAGATATGAATAAAGAAGTTTCAGCAGAATAAATTTAAATAGCTAATAAGCAAATTGAGATATGTAAATATAAACAATTATAAGATGTGATTTTATGACCAGCTAAATAAAAATAAAAACACATATCAATGCCAAGTGTTGGTGAGCATATTGGGAAATGGGAACCTTTATATGCTGCTGGTACACTCACACTTTGGAAGGCAATTTGGCAATATTTTGTAAAGTTGAAAATGCACACACATTGATTTCAGTGCGTAAGCACCAACTCTGCTATTGGCTGTTAGCTCTCCAAATACAGCTATACAACCCATGGACTACCTATCATTTTTTGCCACAAAAGTGCAGGTTGACATTTTCTAAAGAAATTCTCACACTTGTCCAAACGTCATATGTATAAATATGTTCTTTGCAACATTCTTTATCATAGTGGAAAATTAATAGAAGCTAAATGTCCATTACTAGGGTGGTGGATGAATAAAATGGGGTATATTCTAATAACAAAATATTACATAGTGATAAAAAAATGAAAGATTCAGGTTAGATCAATAAAAAAATATCCTCCAGACCTATTATTTAAAATATATTTTATTGATTTTTTTACAGAGAGGAAGGGAGAGGGATAGAGAGTTAGAAACAGCGATCAGCTGCCTCCTGCACACTCCTGCTGGGGATGTGCCCGCAACCAAGGTACATGCCCTTGACCAGAATCGAACCTGGGACCTTTCAGTCCACAGGCTGATGCTCTATCCACTGAGCCAAACCGCTTAGGGCTCCAGACCTATTTTTGAGTGAATAAAAGAAGGTTGTAGAATAATAAATATTTTAAAGGTTGCAACTTGTATTCATTATAAACACATATAAAAGCATATTCTATATATTTATGAGTATATAGGTATTAAAAAAATTAAAACGTGGACTGATAAACTACACACCACATTCATAATAGTGGCTGCCTCTGGGAAAGAGGAGAGAGGAAAGGGAACGTCAACTACTTCAAGTTTACTTGCAATGTTTTGTTTTATTGAAACAACACACTTGGAGAAAATAGGCCAAAGTATTCTTATCTGGATTTGTTTGTTTTTGTTTTTTGTTTTTTCCAAACGAAAAACACACAAGCCATAATAATGACAGAAAATCAGTACTACCATAGAGGAAGTTTAGGATGCTCTGGGAACACACAACAGTGGGGTCTAACCGACTCTAACTGGGGTCAGCAAGGACTGCTGGGGGGAAATGGGAGTTAGCCTGGTGAAGGGGATGGGAAGAGCATTCCAGGCAGAGGGACTAGCCTGTGCAAAATCAGAAGTCACAGAAGTGAAGCCTGTTTGAGGAAGGAAAAGCAGATCAATGGCCAGGAAAGAGTGGAGAAGAGGGGAGAGATGAAGATGCTAAACCTGTGTGTGTTCGTCTCCTTTTCTACAGATGTGGAAACAGAGCCCTAACAAGGGGCATAGATCCCAGGCCTCCTAACTCCCTGTCAGTTGCTCCATGATAATTATACTGCTGTGCCATGACTCCAGCAGGCACCTTAAATGAGTCCTCTCATTTCATCTCATTACAGACCTAGAGGGATTTTTCCCTTCCCATTTTACAGGTGAGGAAACAGGCCCATAGAAATTAAGAACTTTGCTCAAGGTCACAGTGACATCAGCCAGATTCCACAAGGCCGTGTGTGCTATGCTAAGCAGGTTGGACTTTTTCCTAGGGGTATTGGTGAGTGTATTAAGTTCCTGCTGCTGCTGTAATTACCACAGACAAGGTGACTTAAAACAATATAAATGTATTAGTTTACAGTGTTGAGGCCAGAAGTCTGAAATGCGCCTCTCTAAACTAAAATTAAGGTGGCGGCAGGGCTGGGTTCCTTCCGAAGGCTTTGGAGAGAATTGGTTTCCTTGCTTTTCCACCTGCATTTCTTGGCTCATGGCCCCCTTCCATCTTCAAAACCAGCAATCATCCGATTCCTCTGCTCCTTTCATCGCATACCCTCTGACTCTTATTCCCCTGCCTCCCCCTTTCAGTTATAAGGACCCTTGTAACTACATTGGGCCCACCCAAATAGTCCAGGATAATCTTTCCATCTCATGGTCGGCTGATTGATTAGCAACCTCAATTCCGTCTGCAGCCTTAATTCTCCCTTCCCATGTAACATCACATTGTCACAGTTTCTAGGAATTAGAGCATGGACATTTTGGGGGATCCATTATTTTTCCTACCATCATATGCCACTGAAGGGTTCTTAGCAAGAAAATGATAAGATGAGGCCTGCATTTTAGTATCTTTTTGTTATTGGCTTTATAAAACAGTCACTTCATGACTTATTGACAGCAAATTGGGCTTTGCAACAACTTAACACTTTCAACAGATAAACAGTTAATAGTTATTAAATGTGTTCAACCTCATAAGTATATCTGGGTGTTTGTTTTTCCAGATCTTTTAACCCAACAGAGAGTTCTTTTGTACCGGTGACTTGATTATTTTCCCAACAACCACGTAGGAGTTCAAAAGACTGATATAATTTCGCCTTTATGGATGAGGAAACAGGCCCAGGGGAATTGGGTTGCCTGCCCAGGTTCACAGAGCTGCTAAGGCCAGGGCCATGGTGAGGGACTAGTCTTCAGGCCCACTCAGCAGCAGTTCCTGTCATCCATGGGTAGGGCATTCTGGGAACTCAAGTCAGGTATCAGCACATCTTAGGTGCAATTTTTCACCTATAATCCGGCATCCGGTAAGTGCTTGTTGAGCGAATGAATAACCCTGCTTTCACTTCTGTGGCACAGGTGGTGATTTTCAAGGTGGGAAAACCATCATCTCTTGCCCGAGCGGGCACAGTTACCTCCTCCCTGGCCTCTCTGCTTTGCTCTCTAATCCACACTCCAGAGAGGAGCCAAAGTGATGGACTTAAGATGTAAACCAGGAGACATGGCTTCCCCAGATACATCTTCCCATTGGCTTTCCATCATGCCGAAAAGAAAACCCTAAACCCTCAATTATGGCCCCACATGATCCTGCACGCTCCCTGCTTCTCTCCTCTCAGCCTAATTCTTTCCACCTCCCTCTGGCTTCCTCCCCTCCAGTTCCACCAGCTCTTTCCAAAGGCCAACCTTTCCCACCTCAGAGCCTTTGCCCATGCTGTTCTTTTTAAAAACATTTTTTAATTGATTTCAGAAAGGAAGGGAGAAACAATAATGATGAGAGAAAATCATTGATGGGCTGCATCCTGCACCCCCTCCCCCACTGGTGATTGAGGCCACAACCTGGCATGTGCCCTGACTGGGAATCCACTGTGTCCTCCTGGTTCAAAGGTCAATGCTCAACCACTGAGCAATGCTGGCTGCCCCTCCCCCTGCTGTTTTTTCCTGCTGGAAATCTCTCTACTCCCCCCCCTCCCCCACACCTCTAATTTTTAAATAGCTGGGTCCTTCTTCTATGTCAGGTCTCAACTTTAATGTCACCTATTTAGAGAGGTTCTTTTTCGCTTTTGTTTCCTTCATAGAAAATTGTGACCATTTGTAAAAGCTTTATTTGTCTCCTTGCTTATTTTGCTCAGACGCCCTCCTAGACCTGAGGTGTCCAGTCTGTAGTTAGCAGACAGATATGGCTGTGAAGCAACTGGCATGTGCCTGGTTTGAATTGGGATGTGCTTGAAGTGTAAAATACACACTGAATTTTAAAGACGTCCTACCATAAAAAGATGTAAAATGTCATTAATAATTTTAAAATACTGACTACATGTTGAAATAATAATACTTGGGCTATACTGGGTTAAAACATCATTAACAATCTGTTTCTTCCTACACTTTTAATGTGGCTGCTAAAACATTTTAAGTTACACATGTGACTCATGTTCTATTTCTATTGGGCAGCGCTGTTCTAGACTGTTAGCCAATGCAGATAGGAACTGCTTCCCTTTTCTACCTATGTGTTCCCATTACCCACCATGTATAGGTACTCGGTGAGTATTTGTTGAATAATTTGGTTTTTATGAGAACGCTGGGCTCAGAGAACACTGAGACAGGCAGCCCCAGGTATGCTGTGAATTTGAAGAATAAAAAAACACAAAAGCAAAGGTTTTCTTTTTCTCCAGTCATCGCATTTCCAACAGGTTCTGTCAGTCCTCTGTCCTTATCTGTACTGACATTCCTGGCATAGTCACCTACTACTATAGATGGGGGAGGACAGCTGGCTCCGCTGCTTCTATTTCAGTCGCACAGAGGTGTCTGGTCTCCATCACTTTATATTCTCCAGCTTTGGTCCTAGTCGCAGAAGGGCTCCCCTCAGCACACTGAGCACACAGATAGGGCAGCTGGGACTCCCAGGGGACTTGCCCAGGGTCACCCAGCAGGTCAGAGGGGAATAGGGCCTGGAACCTTGGTCCCCAGAATCACTTTTCAGGACTCTTGCCTCCAACTACATCCTGCTGCTGTGTCCTT